AATCTTCCCCTTTCTCAGAGCCTCTGTGGCTGTTGGGGACCACCCTGCCTGGTCTCAGGAAGCTGTAACCCCCCATGACTTAGGCTGAGTGAGAGACCTCCGGACCAGGAGCCACTAAAGATACAAAACTTACTCCCCTGGCAGGAACGCTGCCTGTTCTGTGCCTGACCTCCTAAGCTTGATCAGTTATCCAATGACGGGTAAGATTTCCCATGGAGGGAATTGCCTCAGACAGGCATGATCACGTGGAGGCTTCTGGGAAGAGACTCGGGGCTGTGGAAATGAAGGGGTGATGGATATCAACCCCTGCCCCCTCGGCTTTGTCAAAGCCTGAGTCCTTGTTCTTAGAAGTGAGAAATCCAAGTCTCCTGGCTGCCTCTGTGTCCTGCCCTTCTCAGGCCTGCAGAAATAGCAGGGGTGGTGATAGCAGGGTTCGGAGCCCAGACCAGAGGCAGCGGACCCCTGGGGTGATCAGGCCTGGGACATAGAATATGCAAGATCCCGCGAGATCTGTTTGCTGGAGGATGTTATTAACTTGGAATTTAAAAGCACAGGCAGGAAACCTTTGGAACCTGTAGCCCTTTCATATGCTAAAGACCACAAACCTGGCCCAGAATCTCAGCAGGAGTGCTGCCCCCACCTTTGTAAGTTGCCTACATCTTTTGATCTTTTCTGCCAGACTGTGAATCCACAAACTAAGTCTGTTTTCTCAATAAAAATCTGCTCGGGTGTGGACACGGCGCGCTCTCCCCACTTGAGAGAGGGTGGCCATTCTGTCCTATTCCCCCACAGGACCTGGTCGTCTCTGTGTGTGTTTTTCTCGTGTTTCCACGAACCATGCACAGCGTTCCGTGCTCACTGCAGGCAGGTGGGCATGTGTCACGTGGCCACTGCATCTGAAGAGCACCCTCCACCCTCCCTCTCTCCACGGGCCGGCCACTCCTCGGGGCTCTCCTTATCTGTCTCCACTGAACTCAGCTGCGCGGCATTTGAGGTCGTGCCTGCCCACGGCAGAGGGACTGACATCTGCAGGGGGACTGAAACCTGCCTCTGGCCGCCAAGGGCAGCGTCTGAATCCTGTTCTGGAACCACCTGCGCGCCGGCCAGACCCTGGGCCCAGAGGCTCTCTCCAGGCTCTCTCCAGGAGGCTCTCTCCTGACGCCGTGGTGTTGGAAGCTGCTGGGAGAACTGTCCAGTTGGCCTGCTTGGAGGGGACCAGTGGCCTTTTCATCCGGAGGGCGAGAACGGCTGCACAGTGGCCGGGCAGATGTGGTGGGTGGTAGAGCTGACTGCCCCCGGGGGGCCGGGAGCCCAGACCCGTGGCAGTGGGAGGAGGGCCCCAAGGTGCAGAGGCTGCAGGGCAGGGCGGGGGGGCTGCACCGGAGGGTGAGTGGTGGCTGAAGGCTGGCGGTGGTGACCGCGGTGGCAGGCAAGGCCATCCCACAGCAAGCTCTGGGGCCGCCAGCTAGACGGAGGACGACAGACCCCTCCCACACGCAGACGTGGCGAGTCTCCGCCGTCCCAACCCCGAGCTGTGTCTGGCCGCTCACTCTCCGATCTGACCGCTCACTCTCCGACATCGTCAGCGTGTGACAGAAGGGACCAGCCGCCGGCTGGGTTTACTCCCCGAATTAACGAGCGAAATTGAAGAAGGATGGGGCGGCCTGTCCACCCAGCAAGTACTCCCCTGCAGGGCTCGGAATCCTAAAGCGACAACGCGTCCTCGGCCCACGGGGATCTCAGGAAATACTGGTGTCGTGGCGGCGGGGGGGGGGCGGGGGGGTGCCCGTCCAGGCTGCAGTGCTTCTTACCCGAGGCCCTTGTCCAGACTGGCTCTAGAGGCGGGCCCTGGGCGCGGGGCGGGGCCGTGCTGTGGAGGAGGGGCCTGGGTGTGGGGCGGGGCGGGGCTGTGGAGGAGGAGCCTGGGCGCGGGGTGGGGGGTGGGGCTGTGGAGGCGGGCCCTGGGAGCGGGGCGGAGCGGGGCTGTGGAGGAGGGGCCTGAGTGTGGGGCGGGGCGGGGGCTGTGGAGGAGGGGGGCCTGAGTGTGGGGGCGGGGCGGGGCTGTGGAGGAGGGGCCTGGGCGCAGGGTGGGGGTGGGGCTCTGGAGGCGGGCCCTGGGCGTGGGGCGGGGCGGGGCTGTGGAGGTGGGGCCTGGGTGTGGGGCGGGGCTCCGGAGGTGAGGCCCTGGAGGCAGGGCGGGGCCTGGAGTCCACCTAGGATTGGCTCTTCCTGCATCCGTCCCTGGGTCCCGACCTCCCGAGCACTTTTGGACTTTCTCTGAGCTTGCTATCCCCACGTGAAGCCCCTCCTAGCACCATATTTCCCTGATCCGAGCACTCCTGCACTTACAATTGTGGACAGAGGGTGGCGCTATGGGTTGAATTGCGTCTCCCCCAAAATTTGCTTCCAAACGTTTTAACCCACTTGCGAAATGACCTTATCTGGAAATAGGGTTGTTGCAGATGTAACTGATTGAGATGAGGTGACAGCCCACTAGGATGGGCCCTAATCCCATAGGACGGGTGGCCCTTATAAAGGAAGAAATTTGAACACAGACACGCCCCCACGCGAGGAGAATGCCGTGTAAAGACAGCACAGGTGGGGTAATGGGTCTACAAACCAAGGAATGACAAGGATGCCGGCAGCCACCAGGAGCGGGGGGTGGCCCGAGGTGGGTTCCCCCTCCCAGCCTCATCTGGCTCGAGCCCCGCCAGCACCTCCGTCTTGGACTTGTGGCCTCCAGACCTGGGAGAGGAGCACGCTGCCGTGTGCGCTGTGGCAGTCCCCGGGACCAGTGCGGTAATAGTGCTCCTCAGGGACCCTCGCTGCCTCCGGGAGGCCTCACGCCCTCCTGATGGCTGGTCCCCGTCACAGGCCCCGCAGATGTGGCTTCTGCTGCTCCTCCATCCAGCCAGGCTCACGCCCCCATGCCCCCCCGCCCCCAGCTGACGAGCTTGCTCCCGGGGCTGGGAAAGTCCTCTGTCCCCACGCTACTTCTTGTCTCTGTGAGTGTCTGCTGCAGGTCCTCCCGTAGGTGGGGCCGCACGGTGTTTGTCGTCTTGTGTCCGGTTTCTTTCCCTCGGCATGATGTCCTCGACATTCACCCACATTGTAGCAAGTGTCAGAACTGCCTTCCTTTTAAGGCGGCATCCTATCCCATTGCATGTACACCAACCACGACTTGTTGATCCATCCATCCAGCCAGCCAGCCAGCCAGCCAGCCACGGGCACGTGGGCTGCTGCCACCTTTGGGCGACTGCGAATAATGCAGCGGAATCATCGCAGTGCAAATACTCCTGTATCTTTTCGATGCCCTCCCAGCGGGGTTGCGGTTCTGTTCGGAATGCAACATTGTCCAAGAGCCGATCCTTCCGGCCACCTTTTCCTGTGGTCCCTGGAGCACAGGCTCCGTGAGGAGCGGAGGGACCCAGAGGGTGTGAGCGTTCACCGGATCCCGCCTGGGAGGGAGACCCGAGCCGGACCCGGGCGACACCAGCGTTCGTCGGGGAGGAAGGAGGGAGGGAAGGAGGGAGGGAAGGCTGCTGGAGGTCCACACAGGCAAGGCGAGGCGAGACGTCGTGTGTTACGCACGTCCCCGGTCTTGCGTCTCTTCCCGGTCAGCGTCACACAGGCCCCCTTCCGGAGCGACGGTGCGGGGAGGACGCCCGAGGCACCGCCCTCCCAGCCGCGCCCAGCGGGCCTCGCCGGGCTGAAGGCAGGCGTGCGAGCCCGTGAGACCGCTTTCCTTCATCTCGCTGACGTCCTCTCAAAAGCCAAGCGTAGCACGTTGTAGGTGCACGTGATGCTATGACAACGGCTGTTTCTTTTTATTAACACAAAAACTGCCGTTTCGAAGTGTTAACGGCAGTTTTTGTGTTAATAAACACACGCACTACCACGTGGATGTGTGGACGTCCACGTGGACGGTGCTGCGTGGCCTCCACCGCCACCTCGAGCCGGAGCGTTCTCCTCCCCGCAGAGGGAGCGCCGTGCCCAGGGGCGCTCGCTGCCGGCCTCCCTCCGCCGGCCCCGGAACCCCGGCCCGTGAGGGTCTGTCTCTGCAGGCTTGCCTGCTCTGGACGCGCCGTATCCATGTGACCACACACGACGGGGCCTTTCCTGCCTGTTTTTTTTTTTCACTGCAGTTTGAAAGCCATGCAGTGGCCGTAAGGACACGTCTCAGGCGGCCCCCCGGGCGCAGACTGGCCACGCTGCTTCTTCCCGCCCTTCGCCAGCCCCGCGCCTGTGTGTCCGGAACCTGGGACGGGGAGGTTTTCACAAAACCACGACGAGCGTTTCTCTAGGGGAGGTCTCTGCCCTCTCCACCCCCAGTTCTCATTTCTCTTTATTTTCAGTATTTTCTAAAATCTCACCTGAGGATGCATGTCCTGAGTTTAGAGACGGAGAGAGACACATCGAAGTGAGAGAGAAACATTGATCGGTTGCCTCAATATGCGCCCTCAGTGGAGTCCAAACCTGTGCCCCGGGCCCTGACTGGGGACCACACCCACAGCTTTCAGATGCCCGGGCTGGCGCTCCAGCCACCCAAGCCACGCTGGCCAGGGCTCAGTTCTACTTTTTTTTTTTTTCAAAGAATTACCTCTGGCTGGCGTAGCTCAGTGGATTGAGTGCGGGCTGCGAACCAAAGCATCGCAGGTTTGATTCTCAGTCAGGACACATGCCTGGGTTGCAGGCCACGGCCCCCAGCAACCACACATGGATGTTTCTCTCTCTCTCTCTCTCCCTCCCTTCCATCTCTAAAAAAATAAATAAATAAAATCTTAAAAAAAAAAGAATTACAATATCAGGTGTTAAGAAATGCTTCTAACTTGTGGGTTTTAACCAGGGCATCTAATTTTCATATCGGAGCCACGGACCCAGTGTCAGGCTTTAAATAAGGTGAAACAGTGTTGATGGAAAAGAAAAAAAACTCGGGAGAACGGCCGCCAGTGCCTCGGGCCGCCTCTCTGTGCCGGGACCGTCCACATCCACGTAGGCAGATGACGCAGATTCTGGGGCTCCTGCCCAGTAGAAAGTTAAGGTGAGACTCAGGAAATTAAGATGAATGTCCTGCTCTGTTTCCATGGAGACATCTGTGATGCCATCCACTCCTCCCTGGATCCCATAGGATGTGGAGCTTGGGAAGCCCGTCCGGACCGGGCCTGGACCAGCGTTCGGCCCACGCTGGGGCCGCATCCCTCCTGACGCCCACGGGAGCCGTCCGCTAACTGGTCTCGCAGGTGGCCAAGCCTGGCCCTCTGCCCTGCCCTCCTGACACTGTCTCTGGGGGCCGGCCGGTCTCCTGCCAGCGTCATGGAGAAGGGACTGATGGCTCTCCGGAGCATGGGCGGCCAAGCCTCGGAATGGAAACTGCAGGCGAAGCAGTACTCGCTCAACAGGCTGGGCCAGGCCGTCAACTCGTACAAGTGGAGGAAGGTACGGGGGGGGGGCGGGGAGGGTTGGGGGGAGGAGCCTTGGAGACACCCTCCCGCCTGAGGAGGGCCCCGGGCCCGGGCCGGGCTGCCCACAGAGCACCCCGAGATGGAGGGAAGGTGCAGTGCTGGCCCCAGCCTTCCGTAGGGGAGTCTCAAAAAGGGGCGGAGGGGGCAGAGGAGAAGGGAGTGTCCAGGGTCCGTGCGTCCGCCATGAGCTGAGGGAAACTGGGGGTCCCCCCGTTCCTGGGAGCTTTCTAAATGGACAGTCACCGGGCTTGGCCGCTGCGGGTCCTAGAGCCGGGTCCGTCCGTGGGGCTGGCAGCAAGCTTGCGGTCTGCAGGGCGAGGGGACAGACCGCTGCCCTGGGCACGCGCGACCAGGCCCTGGCCGTCCCGGTCTCTTTCTCCCTCCGCGCAGAGCGAGGCCCCGCAGGGCGCCTGCCCGGACAGGACCTTCTCGTCGGAGATGGAGGACCTGCGCCGCATGTTCCTCCGGCGCCCGGACTGCCCCCAGTTCTGCTCCCGGGCCACGTCCATGTCCAGTTACGTGAGGGCCGCCCCCGAGGGCCCTCCGAGAAAACGCCCCCCTCCCTGGGGGAGTCGGGACCTTCCTGGAAGTCCGCCCACTTCTGAAATCACGGTGGCCGTCCCTGCACACGGAGTAAGGGGCGGGGGGAAGGGACCGCCCGCCCCCTTTACTGCCCGTTATTGCTCATCTCCCAGCCTCCTGCTCCTCCTGTCTGAGTCACCGGGGTGTCAGTAGGGTTGGGGTGGGAGAGGTGGAGGGGGTGGAAGGTTCTGGAAGCTTCAGGAAAGAGGTCTCTAAGGCCAAACATAACCCGTGACGAACCATCCCCTGTGAGACGCGGAACTGAGGACGTCAGGCGCCCCCGCGGCCCTGCCGGGGGCCTCTGCCACCGCCCGATTGGCCCACGCGCCCTGAGGCCCCCGGGGAGAGGGCGTCGCGGCACAGGGCTCACCGTGTCGTGTCGGAGAGCGCCGGCCGGGCTGGGCGGCACCCCAGGCTCGCCGGCTCCCACACGTGATGCCATCCTGAGTGATGGTGGCGACGCCCTCAGCCAGCGCCTGGGGTCCTCCTGCTCACGGGTCTCTGCCGGGACCCCCACCCACACACATGCAGGCCTGAGCGGTGCCCTGAGGGCCAGGCCCTGGAGAGTGGCCAGCGCTCCAGGACTGTGACCTGTGGGCAGGTCTCGGGGGAGGGTGGAGGGACCACACACTGGGTGCAGGGCCTGGGTCTGCACAGGCTCACAGGGCTCAGCGGCTGGGTGGGGGGGGGGGTAGTGCTTCTGAAAGACTTTGAGGAGGAGCCACTTGTACAGAAGGGGACTTGAGGCCGTCCTTCCTGGGAGGGGACACACTGGTGTGCGGAGATTAATTGCTCCCGGCGTGTTTGGGTGGGCACGCTAGGGACGGGCAGCCGTCACAGCCGAGTTTCCTTCGAGTCCCGGGGCCCCGCCCCACGCAGCCACCGAGAAGAGTCCCCGTTCACCCTGCCCGGCGTCTGAAAAGGAAGACAGCGCCGGCCCCGGAGGTCCTGGGCAGGCCCGACCCGTCACCCGCCGGCACTGTGACACCCGCAGGGTCCGCCTCCATTGTCGCCTTGCCCGGGGTGGTGTGCCCGGGCTCCGAGGCCTGGAAGATGCCCAAGGACTCCCCCTCCAGCCAGCAGGGCCTGGACGCGACGGCGGACGGTGAGGGAGGGCGGGGCCTGCGGGGCCCTACCCCCCAGGGCTTCCTGCTCCCACTCCAGGGACCCTCACTCCCGGGACCCCCTGCCTGGCCCCACGTCCCCCACACAGGGGCCCTAGGATGCATCCCTCCTGGAGCCGAGGGGCCAATAGGCACCATTCCTGCAGACAACCACACTTACTCTCGTTATCGAAACACGAGATCCACACCTGTCCCGAGTGCGAAAAACCCCGGACAAGTGTGCAGGACCACCTGGGCACAGGCAGCGCCAGGACAGCCGTGTCCTGCTGACTCCCGGGCTCTGGGAGCCTGGCCGGGGGCTTCGTGCGTCCCCCAACTTTGTCGGCAGACGCACTGGGCCGGGCGCGGGGGATAGGGGACGGTGTGCCGCCTGGACACGCGGAGTAGCCAGCGGTGGGGGGGGGGGGGCGCCTCGGAGGGGCTCTCGGAGGCAGGCAGGGAGGGGGAGGGTGGGCGTCGTGGGAGACAGCGGCCAGGGCCGCTCAGCGGGGGAGAGCCTGACGCCCCGCTTCTGCGCAGAGTCCCTGCTCCCCGTCAGCAAGAGCGCCTGCGAGTTCGGCTACTTGCGGAAGCAGAGCGCGTCCCCGACGTGGAGCCCGGCCACCAGCGGCCTGGCCCTGGGGCCGAGCTGCCTGCGGAAGCGGGTCCCCTGGTACATCTCCGTCATCCACGAGAAGGTAGCGCCCACCCCGGCCCTGACGCCCCAGCCCCGCGCCCTGCGGGAGGGGCTGCCCTGCGCGGCCCGGGCTCTGTTCTAGAAACTTCTTAGCGGGGCCCGCAGGGTTCCCACGTGCGGTCTTCACTGACCTCGGGCCCCTCCTTTGGCGTCTGCGGGTCAGACGCTTCACAGCCCTTCTGGCGCCTGCCCGCCCTCAGCCCAGACCGTGGCACTGTGAGACTCGGGGACTCGGCCGCCAGCATGCAGCCTGCCCACACACACACACGATCATGACCTTCAGCCGCCTGGGCAGCTCGGGCCGGTCATTCCCCGTGGGAGAGCGTGGTCGCAGAAACAGCGACGACCCGCTCGGGAGGCGGAGATCGGCCCGCGGGTCACGAGGCGGGCTGGCCCCTCTCCATCTTGGGATCCCTTTGACCTCGGTGTCGGGTACCCTGGCCCCGCGGCCAGGAAAAGGTGGGGCGCAGCCCCCTCGCGTCTCTGTCTGTCCGTCTGTCTGTCTGTGAGCGAGTCCGCGTGCGGTTGGAGCGGCCTCTCGGTTACATCCTGAGGAACCCGTCCCCGGGGCAATCCGTATCCGGGGGCATCTTATGGGGTCGGATGTTACAGCCACAAATTCCATTCCTTTTACGATACTCAAGGTTCCTCTTCCCTCTTGCTGCCGTTGGGGTAAGCTCCGCTATTTTAGGAATGTGTCCACCCCAGGTCAGTTTTCACACGGGTTCACCTCGCCCCGGGCAGAACGGGCTCCTGCCTCCCCCACACACACACCTGCAGGAGGCTCGGCCGAAGCCGCCTGTTTCCGGCTCCCGGTGTTGTGGGCTCACGCCCTTCTCTCTTCCTCTCCATCCGTCTTGCTTGGAGTTTACCTCTGTTCGTAGTCCTTTCTTAGAACCGGCTTCTGGTTTCTTTTCTTAAGGCGGTGAAGACTTAATGACAGTGACAACCATGAGTCACTCAAACCGGTGGGTGGCAGGTGGGTCCCCAGGGGACGCTGGCCAGGCCCGAGGGCGTGGGTCCGTGAGCGCTGGTTTCACGTTGATTCCGCACGGGCCACCCCTACCGTTTCTGATGGGTTGCGTCATTTCAGGAGTGTTGACGCCCCTGGACCAGGCCATGCCACTTCAGGGGAAGAGCCGGACGGTGCCCTTAGGGAGAGCCACACCGAAACGGCAACAGGGTGTTCTCGGCAGCGCCAATGTGTTCTGGCTGCAGAGTGGAGCCCCCCGGGGAGTCCCGCCCCGGGGGGTGGGGGCTGCGGGCGGGCTGCCTCCGGAGCTCAGACGGCACCTTGGGGGTCTCCTGCCCTCGGGAGGCTGTCGTTACAGGTGCGCGTGTCTCCCCTGGAGGCAAGGGCGCCACCTGCAGCACGGCACGGGTGTCGTGCCGACTCGGCAGCCCCGGTGGGAGCGAGTACCCTCTTCGCGGCGATCACTGTGTGGGTCGGGGCGCATGCGTGTGTCTGAGTCGCCACAGCCAGGTGAAGGCATGATGCTTGCGTGACGATTGTCGCCTCTATCTGATCGTACAGATAACTCCACGCACCCTTCAGAGGCTCCAGATGTTACAGTGTTGCCGTACGGGCTCTCCCCTCCCCTCTCCCTCTGTGCACCCTGTATCACTCATTCTTGCATGTCTGTGTACCATTGCCTTCCCTCTTTGCTCTTTAAGCTTAATTTGCGGTCTTTTCCTGAATTCTACAGGTGGATACTCACATAATTGTCTTTCATTGTTTTTTTCTAATAGATGCATTTTTAAGGCTATGAATTTGTCCTTAGTCACAGCTTTAGCTGCACCCGCAAATCCCAGTATGTCCGGGTGTCCATCATCGCTCAGTTTACAGCGTTCCCTGACTTCCTTTGCGATTTCTTCTTTGACTTGTAGGCTGTGTGGGAGCCACCACTGAATCTGCAAATGTTGGAGGAATTTCTAGTCATCTCTCTTTCCAGAATTCTATCTGGGACCCTCTGCCTTCTGCCTGAAGAATGCTCTTCAGTTTCTCCAAGTTCAAGTCTGCCAGGGACACATCCTTTCTGCCTCTTGTGTGTCCAACACCCCCCCCCCATCTGCATTGTGTCTCCGAGTCTGAAGAATCCAGGGCAGTGGGATGCTGAGCACAGAAGGCCCAGGGGCCCCCAGAGGGCGTTCCTGGTCAGGCGGGGGCTGCACAGGGGACTGGTGTCCGCAGTCACGGTGGGCAGCCAAGGCGAGGCTGCTGGGGACCTCCCTGGGCAAGGATCTGAGACCTGCCCTAATCGGGGCGTGGCTGTGTTAGGAAGCACCTGTCCTGGGCTCGGGATGTGGGGGCCCCGGACAGCAGGTCTGCTCCTCCTGGCCTGGAGCTGCTGTCCTTGGGGGGGCTGGGGGCGAGGACAAGGGGGCTGTGCGGCACACGGGCTGCCCCCGTTTCCTGCCCAGGACCACTGCCTGTCCGCGCTGGGGGCGGAGGTGCAGCGCCTCTCCGAGCTGGAGGAGCAGGTGCGGCGGAAGGACGAGGAGATCCTGGCGCTGCAGGGGGAGCGGGAGGCCCTGCGGAAGCAGCTGAGAGACCTGCGCAGGAGCAAGGTCTCGGACGTGCCCTCGGGCCAGGCCATAAAGGTGAGCGGAGCGCGGGGGCGCCGGCCAGTGGGGTGCTGCTTCCAGAGCGTCGGAACCTCCCGGTGACCCTCGGGACCCTGGTGCGTGCCCCTGCCCCCGGCACCATCCCGGTGACCCTGCACGGCTGCCAGGCCCTTGGGGGAGCGCGGGCTGGGTCTCAGGGTTCTGCGGCCAGGACCCGAGGCGGGGAGAAGGGAATGATACAGAGAAAGAGCACAGGCCTGGCCCTGGGCGGGTGGAGCGTCGCCCTGCCACGCGGAGGCCGCAGGTTCAATCCCCGGTCAGGGCACATGCGAGAATCAACCAACAGATGCATGAAGAAGTGGAGCACCAATGTTTCTCTCTCCCCCTCTCTCTCTGCCTTCCTTAAGCCAGTAAGTAAACGTTCTTTGAGGAAGAGCCGTAACCGGGACAGCTCGTCCTAGGCTCTGCCGCCAGCTCGCTGTCTCCCCCCCCCCCCCCCGCACAGGCTGCTGCTCTCTCTGGCCTCCTTCCTTTCCTGGAGGAGGAGGGCCAGCTCCTCTGTCATTGGAGGGAAGGCCCCCGCAGGCCGAGCCCCCAGACCTGGCCTGAGTCCCCGAGGGCGGCGACTTGGGGTGGCCTGCCCTGAATGAAGCAAGGTCCAGCCGGGGTGGGGGGCGGGGGGCGGGTGCCCAGTAAGCCGCCCCTGGTCTTTCTAAGGCCTGACCTTTTCGTGCCTGAGGCTACGGCCTGATTTTGTGCTGGGGACACACAGGAGTGTGGGGGGGCGGTGCTTCAGACCATCGCTGAATCCCCCCCGGGGTGTCTCCAAGGGAAACGGCCCAGACGCCGCTGACGGGGCGTGTCCGGTGGGCGGGGCCGCAGGAGTCCGGTGGCCGGACGCTGTCCCGCCTCCGAGGGCTGTGGGTTGGGCGTGAGGGGAGAGGAGCGGGGCAGGGACGTACCTGCGAGGTGGGCGTGTCCGAGGCTGGACCTCAACGACAGCCTCCGGATGCGGAGCCGCTTCAGGCCCCTGCCCCCCTCCCGGGAGGACGGGTGTGCAGGCGTGTGCCCTGGAGAGCCCGGGGAGCCGAGTGGAACCCTGAGGCCCGCACGGGCTCTTGCAGGAGCGGCCCTCCGAGCCCCTGATGAAGCTGTCGGACCGGCAGAGTTTCCTGCAAACGTGCATCAGGGACGAGGAGGAGCTGCGGCACTGGAGGCAGGTACGGCCGGCCCCTCGCCCAGGGGGCCTCGGGCTCCCGCCTGCACCCCCCCCCCCCAGGTGCGGCCCTCGGCCACCCTGCCCGCCCTGTGAGGGAGCCAGTGAGGGTGTGGGCGCCGCTCCCCCTGGAGAAGCGTCTCCAGCCCCTGCCCTGGGTGCTGGTCCCTCGCAGCCCCCACCGGATGGAGCTTCCGCGTGTGGGCTGGGGAGGGAGCGCCCTGACCCCGCACTGCCCTGGGGCACCCACAGCCCTGCGTCCCCTCCCACCCCCAGATGCAGGAGGAGTATGTCATGGGGCACAGAACCAGGGACCTGGAGGCCCTCGGCGAGGAGGAACAGGGCCTGGAAGGGGAGGCCGAGAGGCTGGAGGACCAGGGGGCCCAGAAGGAGGCCGAGCCTGAGGAGGGGGGTGAGGAGGAGGAGGAGCAGAGGGTGGAGCTGGAGCTGGAGCTGCCCGAGGAGCAGGAGGCGGAGGGCAGGGCGGGCGGCCGCAGGCCGGCCTGCTTCCCCGAGGACGACTTCGACTTCGAGGAGGAGCTGATGGCCCAGCTGCAGGAGTGCGAGCAGCTGATCCAGGAGTTCCAGTTCGAGCTGGAGATCGCCAGGACCAGACTCTCCCTGGCCACAGGCAGGAGGCGGAGGGGGGACCGGCCCCCCACCCCCTTGGGCCGGGCCGCGGCGGGATGTCCGGCCCTGCCCCGGTGCAGGCTGGGGGGTGGGAGTCAGAGCCCCCAGCTGCTCCAGGTGACCCCAGGCCCCCTGGCCCCGCCCCCTCCCCGCCGCCCACCAGGGGCCTGCATCTCTCTACAACGACAAGTGGACCACCAAGAGGCCGAGCTGCAGAAGGCCAACACGGAGAACCAGCTGTTGCAGAAGGAGCTTCGGGAGCGGAAGCGGCAGCTACAGGCCATGACCGACAAGGTGGCCGCGTCCGTGCCCCCGGGGGCCCCCCCAGCAGCTCCGGGCCGGCGCCGGCTGTCCCATCCCGCCGCCGGAGATGCCGAACTCGGGGAGCAGGCGTGACTCGCCCGAGGTTGCACGCGGATGGCGGCGGGGCGCACTGCCCAGCGGCCTCCCCATGGCCTCCCTGCCTCCCGGGCCTCTGGCCACTCCCTGGGCGCCTGCGGGCCCGCAGCCCCACCCACGCCTAGGGAGGTCGCCGCTCGGCCGAGCCCACTCCGCGGGGGTCTCGGCCTGTCTCTTTGCAAGGGTTTCCCACCCGCGTGCGCAGCTTGAAGAGCCAAAGACCCCCAGTCTCCTTGTTGGAATAGGAGGGAACTGTCCTCCTCCCCGCATTGGTCCCTCCCCAAGGCGACCTGTTCTCTGGGAGTCCCCCGCCCCTCCCCTCAGTGTCGCTGAGTGGGCCCTGCGCTTGCTCACACCTGGGGCCGTTGTTGGGGGCACGCTCGGAACCGGAACCAGAACCGGAACCGGTGTGTGAGACGTTGCCGTTCGTAAACCACGTGTTAGAGCTTCTGCGCCCCCATCTCCCTCTTTCTGGGTCCACACTCGTGTTCTCTGGGGTGCGCCCTCGGGTGTTTTCTGAGGGAAGGTTTTGTGAGTGGGGGTGGGTCTGGGGGCCGCCGTGTGTCTCCAGCGTCTGTGCTCCGTGCCGTAGCGGTGCGGTTGGAGGCAGCACTACGGCCTGGAAGGTGTTCCCACACCAGGGGTGGCGTCCCTGCGCCCCGTGTCCCCAAGTCCGGGGCGGCTGGTGGGAAGCCCAAGGTCACCCTAATTCCTGTGCCTCCCCACGACTTCTTGGTGGTGGCCGCTTCCCCGCCGGAAGGGCGCGGGATCCCGGTTTGCCCCAGCTGTTCGGAAACCTCACGAAGGTGGGCCTTACTGAGCGTGCACTCCCACTGTGCGGGGCCCCCGGGGGCCAGCCGGGAACCCCGTCCCTCTGTTCGGTGGTTCTGGGGTTTTTCTCCATTCGAGCTGCCTTTCCTCTCCTCTCTGGCCGCCCCCCACGCCCCGCCGGCCGGCCCCCCCTCCACTCAGGGCCAGGGAATCCCCCCACCTGGGGCTGTTTTTCCTTCTGGCATCTCACACCCTTGCCCACCAGTTTAGGAGACCCCCGTGACTGACCCACAGCCCCCTCCCAAGTTTGGCGTTTGTGATAACATTTGCGATGTCCGAGGTCTCTCTCTTTCTCCCTGAATGCTCCTTTTTTGCCTCTTTTTCCTGGAAGCCCAGCCTCTGTTGCCCCATTAGAGCATCTTCTCTTGCCCCCCCCACCCCTGGTGTCCGTGGTCGTCCTTGGTTTTAACCCCTCACGGCGTCCCTGTGTCCTGTGAGTCCCCTTTCCCGGCTTGTTGGGGTCTGTCGTTCACGGGGGGACTCGGCTCCCACGCCAGGGCCCCTGGTGGCCACGCTGTGCCGTGCTCTGTGCCGCGGGGGTGCGTGTGGGCATTCCAACCGGGAGTTCTGACGTGGAACTCATGGGCCTTTCTCCTGGTGGGTCAGATTCCCCTGGATCGGGGGAACTGGGAGTTCCATTTCTGGCCCGGATGGGCGGGCCTCGCTGCCCCTGCGCCCTGGGCCCCTGGTGGGGAAGGAGGGTGTGGCTTTCACCTTCAGCACCCACACCCCCCACCTGGAGTCTGGGGTCTCCCAGGTCAGACGCCCCCCTGGGCGCCCAGTGGGAAAGGGGCGGGCTTCCGGCAGCTCAGCTGGGGGGATGCGTCCAACACTTCATCCCTCCCGGCTCCTCCTTTTAGCCTCTGGGTCCAGTTGGGAGGGTCTTGGGGGCGGAGGTGGGGCACTGCTGGTCCTCAGCCCTCCTCCGTGCTGCTGTCAGCTGCTGTCGCAGGGCCCCGAGGCCTGGGGTCTGCTCTCCAGCGCCCCGTGTCTCGGTGCTTCCCCTCCTCGTCCGCTACCGCCCTCACCAGAAGCACGCCCCAGGGAGGGAGTGGGCAGACCCGGGTGTCCATGCCCCTCTGGGCCCCCGCCTGGCGCCCCCTGAGCCACCCCGCCTGTCTTCCCTGCAGTTCTCCAACCTCCGGGAGGAGAAGAAGTGGGAGGAGGTGAAGGGACTCGGCGAGAAGGACAACCTGGTCCTCCGGCAGGTGCCCGCGGCCGGCCCGGGCCGCGTCCCGGGGGGGGGGGGCCCGCCTGTGTCAGGCAGCACCCCACCGTCACCGGGTTCCGATGTGACTTGGGGAACTCGGAGAGAGGTGGCCGTCCCTGGGGGGGAGGCGGGGCCGGCACAGGTGGGCCCACGCCTCCGCGCCCCCGCCCCGTCCCCAGCAAGTGTGGGAGCTGGAGCGGGAACTGGCGAACCGCGAACGTGTCCTCGCCGAGCTGGACGCCAGGGTCGGCCAGCTGCAGGCCCAGGCCGCCCAGAGCCAGAAGCAGCAGCAGGGCTGGCAGCAGCTGCAGGAGGCGACGCGGGACAGGATGGAGGCCGTGCAGCAGGCTGAGCAGCAGACGCGCGTGGCCCTGGAGAGCGCCCAGTCCCGGGTCCGCACCCCCCTGCCCTCCCCTCCCCCGCTCCCCCAGGGCCCGCCCGCCTTGAGTTCAGTGGGGCTCGGGGTGGGGGCGGGGTGGAAGGGGGGCACCAGGAGTTTCCTTAGCAGCCCACCTCGAGGGCTGGCCCAGCTCGGCCGGGCCAGGGCGGGTCTTCCTGGGACGGGACGGCGCCCACAGCCCCCGTGGGGAAGGGAGGGTGACCCGGGGTCGCTCCGAGTCTTCACGTGTTGTTTTTAAAAAACCACGTTCAAGTGTTGCCTTTTCACTCAAACGATTTGGTGAGGCAGAAAGCTCTTCATGGTGGGCACCCCCACCCCCCGGCCCCGTCCAGCTTTTGGGCGGATAGTGACCCTCTCTCTGCCTCCATCCCCGGTCCCCAAAGCCGGGAGGTGAGGTGGAGGCCACTTCCTACCTCCGGTGAGCCCCGGGCCGGCGGCGGGCAGGCACCTCCGCTGCAAGGGGCTGCAGCCCCCGCCTTCCCACCAAGGCCGCGCCGGTGTCTGCGCCCCCTGCAGCTGGAGCGGCTGAGAAACAAGATCATCCAGGCCGCCTTCGGCGCCTTGGGGACCAAGTCCTTGACCACCGAGATCTCCGACAACGACATCCTGGAAGCCTTGCAGGTCCGGCCGGGACGCGCCTCCCCGGGGCCCCGGGTCTCCGGCCACACGCATCTGCAGCCCGGGACCGAGCGAGAGGCCTGGGTTGGGACTGGGGCGTCCCTGCGGGCCCTAGCTGTGTCACTGCTCTGTGACTCTGGGACTGTCCTCTCTCTGCTCAGGCAGAGGGGACCAGACCCCCCTCTCCCCACGGGGCGGGGGCGTCACAGGGCTGGGGAGGCCAGGCTGCTCTCGGCACCAAGTGACCGAGTGACCCACGGGGGAGGCAGACCCTCCGAGGGCCGCTGGGGAGGGGCCGTGCTGCAGGGTCCTGGAGCCGGAGCCCGCCCCCAGCTCGGCCCAGCTCGGCCCTCCCGTGGATGCTTCTCAGCACCTGCTGGGCCGGGACCCTGGCACTGAGCCCCTTCTGTGGCTGCAGCCATGCCTGCCCCTCACCGGCCCCAAGCAGAGGGCTCAGAGGGCAGGGGGTGGGGTCTTGTCGGGGAGACACTGTGGGCCAGTCACTCGCTGTGCTGGGCCCCAGGGCGCCCTCCACACAGGGAGGCAGCGTGCCCGCCCCCAGGCTGCCCCGGGAGATAGGGCGGCTGGGCCAGTGCTCTGGGGGGCGAGCACCCGGCTGACGCAGGCTCTGGGAGGGCCTGTGCCGTGTCACCGGGGGCCGTTGTGCCCCCGGCCTTCTCTGAAGGCTTGGTCCTGCGACCCCAGCGGGGCCCACGGCCTTGAGAGCCCCCGTTTCCCCAATCCCTGGCCCCCCCCTTCCTCTGGGCCCTGGGTGGGCCCTGCCTGTGTTGCTCCTGGGGGGCAGCAGTGTCCGCAGAGGAGAGGTGGACCCCTGTCCGGGCCTGGCTGGGCCTGGCTAAGGGAGGGGCGGAGGAGAGGGAGAGAAGAGGCAGCGAGAAGGTGGGAGGGGGCTGGGTGGAGGGGAGGCGTCACCAGCACCGCTGGGGCGCCAGGAAGGAGACTTGGGGACACGGTGACACAGCCTCTGGGTGTGGGATGGACCTGGAGGGACAGACCCGAGGCCTGGAGGCCCCTCTGACTCACAGTGGACACAGAGACAGCTTCAGGCTGAGCTACCCTGGAGCCCGCTGCTGGGGAGGGGTGGGTGGGCTCAGCGCAGAAACAGGCCAACGCTACAGACCCTAGTGCGCCCCCCCCAGAGCCCGTTGTAAATATCCCCCCTCCCCACCTCTGGTGCGGGGGGTCTGGCGGGGCCAGTGTGGCCGGACGCAGGGCTCTCTTCCTCCGCAGAAGCTGGTCTTGGAGAGGGCGGAGTACTACAGCCAGCTGAAGCAGAGGGGGTTCAAGGGGCCCGGCCCGCCGCAGTCCGAGCTGACCTCGCAGGGCAAGTCCAAGAAGCTGGCCTCCTCCAAGTAGGCTGGCACGCCGCCCACGGGCCAGCCCTGAGCTCTGAGTCCCAATTAAACCCTGTCGTTGGCCTCGGCGGTCACCTCCTCCCCCAGGGGACTCACTCACACCGGGCTGGGGCCGGCATGGGCTACATCCACACCCCCCTTTCCAAAAGTCGCTCTTTGGGGCCAGCACCACCGGCTCCATCCTGGGGGGACCTCACATGGAACACGGTCCCCCCCACCTCACTCACGGACCCCACGCGCGTCCTTCCTCCCCTGCTGTGCCCCTCTGAAGGCCCTGCCCCCCAGGGCCCCCTGCCGGGACCCCTGGTGCCACCGCGTCGGAGGGAGGCGGGTGGGAGTGGGCTCCGCTGTCCGCCCAGGGCTCCGACAGAGCCCGGGGAGGGCAGGCAGCCTGGTGTGATGCTCACCCGGGGTCTAGGCCCAGGAGTGCGGGCTGCGCGCGGCGGCCGGGGACATCTCTCTCCGCTCGGCGCCCGGCCAGCCTGCCGGCCTTCCTTATGCGCGGGCAGCACCCGTGCGGAGTTCTGCTGCCGCGGCCTCCGGCCCCTCGCAGCCAGGAACCGGGATGGCCGCCCAAGCCACGCAGGCCGCCGGGCGCGCCAGCCCAGCTCCTGGTCTTTCCGCTCAAACTCAGGATCCCCGGAGGCTCCCGGAGCCCTGCTCGGAGCTCGCGCCCGTCCTGGCGGGGTCGGGGAGGGCTGGGCCCCAGCACGGGGCTGCGACAGCCCGGAGGGGGCCCGAAGATCCGCCACGTCTGGGCCCTGAGGAGCCCCGCGCAGCTGCCCTGGCCGGAGCCCGCCCGCAGCCCGGGGCCGCGCGCCCCGCCCCCCGCCCCGCCCCCCGCAGGGCCCCTGCCCCCGGGCCCGTTTCAGGCCAGGACCTCCCCCGCTGGCTCTACACTCCGGACCGGCCTCGCCCCTCCCCAGTCCCGCTCTCCTCTCGGAAGTCTCCAGCCTCCCGGGCTCCGCTCCGCGCGACCCTCCGCGACGGACAGGTCTGTGCCAGGGGAGACGCAAGGTCGGGGTACAGCCGCCTCGCACGTCCGGGGGCTCGGGGCGTTGGAGCGGGTAGGGGTGGTGTTGGCTGCTACGGCCTCCCGGACTGCGATCCGCCTGCCCGGGACCGCGGGATTGGCGGGGTGGGGGTGGGGGTGGGGCATGGGGGCAGTCGGCTGTCCCACCCAACAGATCCCTGGGCCTGACGCACAGGAGGCGACCAGACGCCAGCCACTCCGAGACACCCCAGGGCCGTTTCCCTCCGCGCCCCCGCCCCGCGGGGCCGCTTCGCTTCACCCTTTTTTCTTTTCTGTCGTTGGAGGTCGGACCATCGGACCGTCGCTGGCACCTCGGACTCTGAGCTGCAGGCGGAACGGAGGTGAAACCCGCCCGCTGGCCGGCCCCGCCACGACCTCCTGCCTGGGCCCCAGAAGCTCCGCCAGCCCGTCTCCCGGCCAGGACTCCCCCTCTGTGAGTTGCGGGCTCCTCGGAGGTGCTTTGGGGTGACGGAGTCCGAGGCCCGTGGAGCCCCTGTCCTCACAGGCTCCCAGGAAGCGGTGGTGTCCTGGAGGCTCCTGGGGCTTGGCAGGCGTCGCTGCCACGCGGCACAGCCCCGGGCTGCTGGGACACAGGGTGGCCATTGTGCCGCGGTCCGGGGTTGGACGGACGGTCCCTGAGCCAGTGGAGCTGTCAGGAGCTCAGCTCCGGGCACGTCACCAGCTCCCTGTGGCCGTGTCCACCCGGGAGAACCGTAGAGCCGCACCCGCACCGGTTCGGAACAAGTCTCCTCGCAAATGGTCAGGACCGCTGTCCCGGGCTGGGCCAGACTGGGGCTGACCCTCCTCACACTGAGAAGCCTGCGGCAGGGCAGCTGGTGTGCACTCAGGGGCACAGCACCATCGGGCTGGCGTTGCAGGGCAGTCTGGTGACAAGGCAGCTGCTGCAGCTCCGGCCATCACATCAAAACATCGAGGCAGGAAGGATGGGGGTGGCTGCTGTTTCCCTTCTGAAAGTAGAAGCCTCCTCACCCCCAGTGCACCCTCCACGTACCCCCCAGCGCCCTGCCCGCCGCTGGGCAGCACGGGAAAGCAGGGGCCAGGGCTTAGGCTTGTGTCAGCCTGTGGCTGCCGCTTGGGCTGGCACTTGGATTCCTGGGATGGGACAGCTTCTGAGGGGGTGGGTGCGGGGGAGGGAGTGAGCAGCGCTGGCCGGGGCCCCTCTCCTGGGTGCACCCCGGGAAAGGGGAGCCCACACTGCCCCAGCGCGGGCTCCCTCAGGCCCGGCACTGTTCTGAGTGGCTGCCAGGGAGCCAGGGCCCCACTGGAAGGACAGGCTCTGTGGCCTGGAGGCGGGTTCCCTTCCTTCCCCCCTCCCCTCCCCCCAGACCGGGACAGGGCGCCCCGGGAGGCCTGGCAGGGGCTGAGGACAGCGGGGCTGTGACTTCATGGGCTGGCTTCCTGCCGCCCGGGGCCCTCTGTGTTCCTGTGCCCCCGTGTCCGAGATGACCCAGGGCTGTGGAGGGCAGGTTTCCGAGGCTGGCGGTGGCTGGCCGAGCCTCTGCGCCTGGAAGTTAGGGGCCTGCCGCCACCTGCCCCCCTCGCCCCAGAGCCTCCGAAGACCCAGCTGCCCAGCCCCCAGCCCCGGCTTCTTCCCCGCCAGGTGGTGGGGCAGGGACTAGACTGCTGCAGGCCGGAGGACCCTGCACGGGGTGGGGGCTGGGGGGGGCCAGGCCTCCTCCCCCAGACAGGCTGCCCCAGCTCCCAGCCCCCCCTTCCCAGTCCTTCCCACCCTCCCGGGCCCACCCCCGCCCCAGGGCCTTATCTGCCCAGAGTGGGCAGAGGGAGGGGTTATCGGCCCAGCCAGCCCAGCCCGCCGGGAGGCCCCGGGGCCACTTGCATTCCTGAGCAGGGTTCTCGGACTCTCAGCCTCCGGGGGGTTGGAATTCCCACTCTGACCCCTCCCATGGTGACTCTGGTGCCTGGTCCCGTCACCTCCTTGGGAAGGTGGAGGGCGTGGGCCAAGGGGCCAGCCCACCTTACTGCCTCTCTGCCCTACCCAGCGGCGGGGGGCGCTCACACTCAAAGCACCCCCCACTCCCGCTGTCCTCCCAGAGCCCGGCCGCCGCGAGGCCCCGCCCAGCGGAGGCCCCGCCCCCAGCCAGCATGCAGCCGCAGGACCTCAGTGTGCAGTACAGCAGGTGGGAGGAAGTCAGCGTGGGGGCTGCGTCCGGCGCCGGCACGGAGGAGGCCTCCAGCTGGGAGGGGTGAGCAGCCCACCTGGGCCACTGGGCGCCCCCCTGCAGCCTCCGCCCCTGCTGACTGGGTGCCCGCCCCCTCGAACCTGGTCTGCCTGGTCTGCCCAGCTCCCTCTCGGCTCCCAAGTGCAGCAGAGCCCCCCCCCCCGCCCCCCCTCCTTCCGGGTCCACCTGCCCCGGCAGCACCTCCCCTTGTCACGGGGCTCAGGGCCCTCCCGGGGCTCACGGGCTGGCCCTTCTCCCCCTAGGCTGTCCCCGAAGCTGTGCTCGCGCAAGCTGGGTGTCGCCATGAAGGTGCTGGGAGGAGTGGCCCTCTTCTGGGTCGTCTTCATCCTGGGCTACGTCGCTGGCTACTTCATACACAAGTGCAAATGAGCGCTGGGCACGGGCTGGAGGGACGTGGGTGTCTGGGAGCCCCTTTGTACACCCTCCCCCTTATACACAGCCCCTCCCCAGTCCCAGGGCGCAGGGGCACACCCAGCGTGCAGGACACGCACAGGCACCTGTGTGCACACCGTCACAGGCCCCTCCTCGGGTGCACCCGCAGGGATGCCTGTGTGCGAGGACACTTGCCCGTGGCCAGCACAGGCACACCTAGCCTGGGGTGCCCGCGGCCTGGAGCCCTGGGACCAGCCTGAGCTGGGGCTGCCGGCCAGGGCCCCTGGGACTGGGTGGCTGAGGTCCCCCTTGGCAGGGCCGGGGCGTGGCTCCCCCGGGGTGCGTCCAGCGCCGGCACGGAGGAGTCCTTCCTGGGCGGGCGTGGTGCGGAGCTGTGTCGCCCTGGGCAGGCCCCTGCCCTCTCTGGCCTGGCGACTCCCGTGTGCAAGGACGGCTCTGGGAAGAGCCCTGTGTGACCCTCCGCCCTCCCTCTCAGGGACCCCATCCCCAGCCCCCTTCCTGGGCCGTGCACAGCCCAGGGACGCCCAAGGAGAGTGGTGCACGCCTGGGAGCGGTCATTAAATGTCTGTTGAACGAACATGGATGACGGCCTCTCCCGTGGGTCCCCCAGGCCAGGCATGGCTCGGGCGCTCAGAGAGGCCAGCCAGAGGGCGCTGGACAGCTGCCAGGAGGCCGGAGGGAAGGGCCCGCCTCTCTCGCTTGGCCTTGGAAGGGCCCCTCCTGGTGGCACCCGGGGGCCAGGATGTGGCCGGACCTGTTCCTGCCTCGTCTGATTGAGCACACAGAGCCCTGCGGCCCCGCCCCCTCCCGGCCCTTGACCCCTGCAGACCCGTGTCTCCAGCCCTGCAGGCCCTGCCCCAGACACCTGAGGATTCAGGGTGGGGAGGAGGGGCAGTCACTGTCCTGGTGGGCCCCAGGTCAAGACCCAGGTGTCATGCCATGCTGGTGGAGGTGGGCAGGGAGCAGAGACCCCATAGGACCGGCCTGCGGGCGTGCCTGGGCCTGGAGGACATCAGGTGAGGGAGGCCAAGCCGCCCGGTGACCTCTGGCTCTGACCCCCGAGGAGGGAGGCCAGCCGCAGGTGGGGTCTGACCCAGCCAGCTCTAGTCCTGGGTCTCAGTACCTGCCTCCAAGGGGACCCTGCCCCCACCCTCTGGCCGTCTGGGGAGGGAGGGGTGTAGCTGGGCCACCCCCACCAGCCTCACCCTGCCAGAGGCCCTCCCAGGACAGGCCCTGTGCGGTGGCTGGCAGGGGCCACACGGCCTCCGTGGGATCTAAGCAGTGGGCAGCCCGCTCCAGGTACAGGGCCCGGGCCGGGAGCTGGATGGGACGGGTGTCTGGGGAGCGGAGGCCTGGTCACCCCTGCCCACTGCTCCTGCCTGAGCACTCGGCTGCCCTGCGGGCTCCGAGGCCGAGATTCCCACACAGCTGCTGAGCGCAGCTGGGCCAACCCCAGGTCAGAATTGACTGGCCTAGGGCAACGCAGCCCGAGGGTGGATGGGGTGGGCGGGTCAGAGGGGCCAGCAGGTGTGGTCCTTGGGTAAGGCCCGGAGCTGGGGGCTGCCCCTGAGGCCTCTGCAGCTCGGCCCGGCGGTCCAATGTGGCCTGGAGACACGAGGGTCCTTGTGAGAGCCGCCTCCCTGGAGCCACCGCTGATGTTGGAGGCCAACCCTGTGCCCCCCACGGCCTGTCTAGTGTCAGGATGGAGGCCAAGGGCAACCTGGCGGGTGTGTAGCGCCCCCTTCCTGTGGGCTGTCGGCACCCCGACCCTGTCTGCTGGGGGAGCTAGGGGACCAAGGGCACATGCAGCCTCTGAGAGGTACAGCCCTTGGGTCCCCAGCGGCACCCAAGTGGCTCAGCCCCATGGTCCCCAGGGCCCTGTGCTGGGCACAGTCCTTAGGGCCCTGAGGAGACTGGCCCCCCTGACGTGGAAGGCGTGAGAAAGGGTGGGGTGTGGGGCGTGGGGGCGGCCGCAGGCGTTCAGTGAGCAGGTCCTGGGTCTGCTTCCTCCCGGACATCCCCGCTCCCCGTGCCCCCCCCGGAGAAACCCAGGGAGCCGGCGCTCTGACTGTTTATTAGGCAGTGGGGCGGGTACAGAGATGGCCGCCCCCTGGGGTCTGCCACACGCAGACTCCGTTTCCAGCCCCCCAGAGTCGAGCTGCTGACTCCAGCAGCACCGAGGTCACGGAGATGGTACGATGTGGTCACTGACCCCGACGGCCCAGGAGCCAGGAGGGCAGCCTGGCTGCCTGCCCACCGCCCCCCTAGAGCAGACCCCACGCCGGCCACAGCGCCATCAGCCGCGCTGACGTCCACGACACCCATGTGTGGGTGTCAGGGGGCCTCTGGGGGGCAGCGTCACTGGCACGTCTGCATCAGCCCAGGCACGAAGACCGGAAGGCCTGGCCGCGCCGAGACCCAGGCCAGGGTCTCGGCCCCACCCCCACCCCCGCAGAGCAAGCAGGCTGGGCCTGGGAACCACGGGGCTTTGCTCACAGACCCCCATGTGGGATCCGGGCCTCACGGTTCCGATGGTTGAGGATTCCCCACCCCCCAAAGCAACGAAACACAACACAGCAGTCGTCCTTTGCAGGTTCTGGACAGGAGTGCACAGAGCCACTGAACAGCGGCTGCAGCCCCAGCCCCTTCCTGCCTTGCAGCCCGATTGTGCCCGGCGGCCACTCTGCGGCCGCGGGCTCCCTGGCCCCAAGGGCGCCGTGGCTCCGGGTGTGCGCGCGCCCAGACACAGAGGGTCCACGGCTGTGAGCCCAACACCGGAAGCACCTGCAGTGGGACACGCCCTCCACAGTCCCGGGCCCTCCACAGACGGGCAGCGGGGGCCTCTCCCGGGACGCAGACCGGCCTCCTTCCCTCCAGATGTGCATCCCGACGTCCCCGTAGGCTCCTTCGCAACGTCTGCTCGGGCGACCGGCTGCTGCTGGAAGGCTCCGCACAGCCCCCGCCCCAGGCGGCCACAGCGGCCCGGAGCAGCCCACGGATGGGACGCGTGTTTATGAAGGGCCGGAGACGGCGGGGCGGCGCGTTCTAAGCCGCACTCTACGGTGGGACGGGGAAGACGTGAAGGCGTAGGACGGCCCCGCGCAGGCCGGTGAGACGCACGCCGTGCCGCGTCTCCGCCCGGCGCCCGGACTTCAGAGCGTTCTGAGCGCTGGGGTCCTGCTACTTCCACTGCCGCCACCAAAAGCCGCAGCCCAGGCAGCGGGGGCAGGAGTTTAAGCACGTGGCAGCACGGCACGCCTGTACGGCAGAGCCCCCGGAACTGGACAAAGAGCGCGGAGGGCTGACGGGACGAGGGGGCTGTGCGGCCGACAGCCCGCCCCCGCGCCGGGCCGCGTCTCAGCGGAGCACCGTGACGAGGGCGGCGGGGAGGTCCAGGTCCGTCTTGGACGGGTACAGCACCTTCAGGCGCCCCTCCTCGTCCACCACCCGCACCTGCTCCACCAGCAGGGGCGCGTGCCCGCCCTGCTCGGCGCCGGGGTCCGCCCTGGGGTCCTCGCGCTGTCCGGGGGTGGCGTCGGTTTCCCCATCTGAGACCGCTCCCTCCTCTTTGCTTTCCAAAGCCTGTTTGTTGATCTCTGCCATTTTCTGCAAACAAGAAATACCGTTTCAACCCAGAGACCAGAGGCGACCCAGGGAAGCCGCTGCTGCGCCCCGGATGGCCGCAGGGGGCGGGTGCAGGGGGCGGGTGCGGGGGGCCGGGGAACTCAGGGCCGGCGTGGCCCCCGGCGGGTTGCCCACCAGAATGAGGGCGTCCATGGCGTCCTTGCAGATCTGTAGACTCGTCGCGCTCGTCACTTCCAGAAACAAATCGGAAGTCGTTTTCTTAATCTGAGAGAGAGAGAGATCGGGGAGGTTTCAGATGCGGACCCTCAGGAAACAGTGTCCCTCGGCCCAGACCGCCGCCTTCCCGCGCACGGACCCAGCCCGGAGGGCTGCTCACAGGACGAGGGCCCGGCCAGGACGCGAGGACGCCCGCGCGCCGCCCACCTTCGTCTTCTCGCTGTTGGTGATGGGCGGGAAGGAGATGACGTCGCCGTCGGCGTCCAGCAGGCAGGGGTACTGCTCCTTCCCGTCCAGCAGGTGGAGGTACCTGTGCGGGGAGACCCGCCGCGGTGGAGATACAGCAGCGCCCGGGTCCAACCGGGCGAACCCGGGCTCATCCAGGGGCGCGGCGGGGGGCCCAGGGCACACCCAGCGGGCTCCGGGGGGTGGCGTGTCCCGCATGCACCCCGCTGTGGGCCTGGGGTCTGCCTTCCCGGGGCTGGTGGGTGACGGATGCCCGCCCCCGGACACTGCCGTCCCGCCCCGCCCTGCTCCCTGGGGAGCAGCGCCCACCGCCGGCGGTCTCCGAGTCCCACCTCCCCCTCGCGCGGGAGCGCGCCTGGCCGCGGAGCGAGCAGCCTCGGGGGGCTCCTGGACGGCAGCGAGAGAAAACGGAGGCCCGTGCCCGACCCCGAGGCCGCCCACCCACCTGTGCAGGCCCGAGACGGTCTGCCTCTTCCTCTGTTTGCGGTGCTCCTCGGCCTCCAGCTGCAGCTGCCGAACCAGGTCCTTGGCCTTGACTTCTTTGCGCCCCAGGGGGACGATCTTCGGGGCGGAGACGTCGGGTCAGCTCACATGGAAACGCCCTCGGAGGCACCAGCACCGCCCCCACCCCCCCACCCGCCTGTCACCGCCTCTGGCGGCAGCACCAGGGATGGGCCTGACTCCCGCGTGATCCAGCACGAGGACAGGAGAGGGGACAGCTGTCCCTCGGGTGACAGCTCTCCTAACCCCCGCATCACGTGTGGTCCCAGGTGCCCTCAGAGATCGTTAAGGAAGCCAAATGCCTAAACCCTCCAACACTTTCAAAACCAAGCTTGACCCTGAACCTGACGCCCGCACAGGGGCGTTTCCAAGGCCACAGGGGCAGGTGGGCAGAGGGGGACGCGGCCCCCGGCGGGACGGTGGGGCGGGGTGCACACAAGGTATCCGCACGGGGCCCCCGGGACCCTCGCCGCAGAGGCCGTCAGCACCGGGCAGGGCCGTGACCGGACGGCTCGCGGAGGTCAGGTCCTGCTGGGGGCTTTGCCTCCGGGACACAAACCACACGCTTTCGGTTCAGAGTCAGTGAGCAGACGAGGAAAATCTCTCTCGAGGCACGACCTCCCCAGCGGAGGCCGACGCGAACCCGCCCGCAGCGTTACTGGGGGGCGTGCCCGGGGCGGCGGCTCCGCCCACGGCGCTGCGGGGCCGCCCCTGGCACGTGCGCTGTTTCTAAAACACCAAGGAGCCCCGCGACCCGCAAACCCGGGGGGGGGGGGGCGCGCGTCACCTTGAGGTCCGGCGGCGGGCGGGCGGTGTACAGCAGGGGCCCTCGGACCGCCCGGAGCTCGTGGGTGGCGATGGTGGCCGCCGTCCTCTTGTCGCAGATGTCCTCGTGCAGCTTCGTCTGCAATGCGAGAGCGGGGGCGGGGCGCTGGGCGCGGGCGGCTCCCGGCCAACCGCTCCCTTCGGGAGAGCCCTCGGACGACACTTCCACCTGCTCCCGGCAGGACCGCCCTTCCCTGGACGCAAGGAACCACCCGTGGGGGCAGCACCCGCGAGGCCTCGGGCACCGCCCCGAACGGGAACGTGTGACCGAGTGAACACAGGTGGGACTCGAAGAGAAGGTGACCCCGGACGCTTCCTTCTAAAACCCGGACGCATCTCCAGCTCTGCACCCCGGGCTCTGCGGCTCCCCCCCCCAGGGGCCACCTGCCCCCCAGGGGCCACGCTCGGGGCTCTTTCCCATGTCGAACACCTGCCTTTTACTGCAAAAGCTGGGCCCACCGCACAGAAAACCCAGCCACTGGAAAGTCTGTCTGGCTAAACTCTGAACAAAAAGTAAACCCTTCACGGGACAGCCTGCTGGTGAGACCTGATCGACTCTAACCCTCACCAGAGCACGCGCGCTCTGGTTTTACAGGGGGGGGGGGGGGAGGGAAACGCCGATGGGAAACACATCCATCACTGTCTCTCCTGCACGCCCCGGCCAGGGACCGACCCCGAGACCCTGGCCCAGCCACGGCCCTGAGAGGCACTGAACCCGTGGCCTTTGTGTGCGGGACGACGCCCAACCCACTGGGCCACTCAGCCGGAGCAAGAGTTGACGATTCGGATCCCAGCCTGCATGAAACTGGGAGTGCAGTTCGTTACAGAAAGGAGAAACGCCACCCAACGCAGGAACTGCAGGCACACGGCTTCCGGCAAAGCGTCCTCAGACATGCGGCTCCGCCGTGGGATATGTGGGGGAGGGGTGGGAGGGCGCCCCCCGCCCTGCCCACGCGGGTTCTGTCTGCGCGAGGTGCCCGCGACACGCCCGGTGCACTGTGCTGTCCGACAGCCCGGGCGCGCGCACGCACACTTCCTGGGCGGGCTCCCGACACCCAGAGCTGGGGGCCCGCTGTGCGCCCGCTTCCCGGGGGAGGGGCCTCTCCCCGCCCAGGACCCCCCCCGCCCCGCCCCCGTTGGGCCACACCCACCGCGCACACCCCTCGCCCCGCCTGCCCGCACCCACCTGGGAGATGAGGAAGCGCTTGAGCGCGTTCCCCGCCTGCAGGTCCATGCCCCTCACGACGGCCCCCACGATGTACGGCCGCACGGCCCTGACCTCGGGGCCGACCGTGATGGTCAGCGGGGCGGGGTTCTCGGAGACGTGCAGCACCCGGAGCAGCAGGCGGCTGGCCTCGTCCACCTCGTCCTCCTCCTCACCGCTCCCCCTCTTCCTCCTCTCCCTCTTCTTCCTCCGGCCCTCGTCCTTCTCCGCGTCCGCCTTGCCCTTGCCCCGGCCGCCGCCCCGGCCGCCCGCGCGCAGGTACTCCAGGATGGACTTGGTCTGGCAGCTGCCGACCATCTTCTCCAGGCGCCTGTCCTTCAGCTTGTTCCCGCGCAGGTTGATGTCCTTGAGCCGCGGGCAGTCGGCCAGCTCCGCCGGGACTTCGCTCAGCTGGTTGTTGGAGAGGTCCAGTGTCTGAAAGGGAGCGAGGGCGTCAGACCCCCGGGCTCTGCCCGCCCCTGGCTCAGGGACGAGAGGGCACCCGTCCGTCTGTGGGTCCCAGCACCTCGCACGGCGCTGCCCTCGGCAGCCCAGCGGCTTCTCGAGGGGACGGGGCTGGTGACGCTGCCTGGGGCCCCCACAACACACGTGCAATTGTGACCCCTCAGCTCCCCCGGGTCACAACGACAGCAACGCCACAGAAGGACAGTTGGACCAAGAGACAGAAGGTGGCCAGGGCCCAGGGGAGAAGCCATCTGGTCACGGACAGATGAGCAGTTCAGGTGATGAGCAGGCGCCCCACAGGCCGGTGCCGAGACCTCTGGAAGCTCAAGGAGCTGGCTGAGTGCCCCTGGAGTCCCCGCCCTCGCCCCAGACTGAAGCGCGGCTCAGACGGTGCCGGGGCAGGCGTCCACGCAGGGTCACCAGGCCGTGCGGTGACCTGGAAGAGGCACGCAGAGCAGGGGCGGAGAGAAAGGGGCGCCGAGGAGGCCAGACACGGTCTGCGGTCACCAGTGGGCTGGTGAGGGCAGCGGGAGGGGCAGCGGGTGGGCAGGGCCCCACTGGGGCAGGGCTGGGCAGGGTGGGGCACACGGGCCAGACCGCACCCCCCCACAGGGCCTGGAAGAGGCGGAGCCTGTGCCCGGCCCCCGGAACCCTAACAGGCAGCGGTGGGGCCACTGTCCGCTCAGTCCCAGCCCAGGCGCGCGGCCTGCACGCCGGCTGCTCAGAAGCCTCTGGCGCTGGACGGAGACTGGGCTGCAGGGCAGGCTGGGCCCCCGAGACCAGCTGTCCCCGTGTGCCTCCTGCTCGGGGGGCAGCGAGGGGCTCATCTGTGGGCTTCGAGGTCTCCTGCACTGTCCCAGGGGGCTTTGGCCAAACAGCCCGCCAACTCCACCAGCGTCGCCCCCATCGCTGCAGGCAAACCCGGCTGGCTGGGGGCCGGGACGTGTCTGCCCCCGGGATGAAAGAGAGCCCGGCCTCGAAGGGAGGCCGAGGGAAGCGCCCCGGTGGGGGGAGCCCTGACTGGACCTCCCCCCCCCGCCCCCCCGGGTCTGAGCATGCTCTGCCGGGGCAGGAGGCTGAGCAGGGCCTCCTCCCAGGAAGCTGACTCTGGGTCCTGCGCTGTGACACCAAGGGCGTGACACCCAAACTCACTCCCAGGGAGCGAACCGCCGCGCCAGGCGGAGCGTGGCCAGCACCTGCCTGGGGCTGGCCCACAGAGGACCACGCTCACTCCCTTCCGGCAGGCAACAAGCCCTGGCGGGCGGAGCTGGCTGGTCTCTGACCGTGGACCGTGCCGCCTGCTGGGGACAGCGCGCCTGCAGGGCACAATGTTGCCGAGAAAGGGACCCCGAGTTCCTGGTTGTGTGACCCTGAGACAGCCGCTGCCTCGGGAGGGTGCAAGGGACCATCTTCATCCCTGCGGGCGGCGGGGACCTGGCCTTCACCCCTGGGGAGCCCCGCCTCCAGCAGCCACCGAGAAGACGGGAACCGAGGAAGGTTTTCCCCTCACATCCTCTTATCACCGGACAGAAGGCTTCCCCTCGAAAGTGTAACTTTCCTGTGACACTTGGCGTGCGAGGACTCCCACCCGAGAGTGACGCTGGGTGACACAGGTGGGCAGGTTTCCTGGCAGGACAGAGGGGAATCCTGGATGGTGCCGGCCCGGCCCTTCCCAGCAGTCTGGGGGCACACCTGTCCTGCCCACCCCCCCTGCGCCAGAGCCCTGGCGGGCGGCAGCAGCCCCGACAGGCCCAGCAGCAGCAGGACCCCGCGGCAGGACAGACACGCCGGGGGGAGCCCACGCCCCTCTCGGGTCTCCCCAGGGCACAGCAAGATGGCCGGGCCAGAGGCCGGCGACAGCAAAGCTGGGGCCACCAAGGGCAGAGCGGACTGTGCGGTGGGGGAGGCGGCCCCGTGCGGCCATCTCTCAGCTCCCACGCCCCAGGCCCCGGGGCAGGGCCAGCTCCCTGAGGGCGGGCGCCAGGTGCAGACTGGGCGGCCTCCCCACGCCTGGAGGGGGGGAGGGGGAGTGGGAACAACTGAGGCTCGTGTGCTGTCCCTTCACTGGGGGACACCTGCCCCGACTAGGGACCCGGTCTTATTTAATCGGCAGGAAGGACGCGATGCTGTGGCAGGGGCCACGTCAGAAGGCCTGAGGAGTCCTGAGCTGCCACGTGGGAGGGAGGGGGTCCCGAGGTGACACGGAGAGGAGCCCAGCCACCTGGCTCCCCAGGCGAACCGGCCACCCGTGCGTGACCCCCAGCAAGCCAGCGACCGCCAGCGGAGCCCGAGGCCCAGAATGGAGAATCGTTAGCGAGGGAAGCTACTGTGGTCTCAGCACAGGGTGGCGACGTGGCCAGGACCTGCACAGGCGCCACCCGCCACTGCCTTCCTGTCCCCAGGTGAGAGGACCGGGCAGAAAGCCCCACTTCCCGCCTCCCATCTCCTCCACTCAGCTGGTCCAGGGACGGACGAAGGCCTCTCTCCGTGGAGCCCCAGCTGCGCTCTGCGTTTGCACAGTGTGCCCGGGCGTCTCCAAAAGCCTCCCCCGCCCAAGGGCCATCTAACCCCAGGGGGTGCCGCGCAGCTCCTGCACACGCTCTTTGAGACGCGGGTCTGTTCACGGGACAGAGCCCAACGGAGGTCGCACCAAGCTGGAAGGAACGGACCAGGTGGGGGGGCTTGGTGAACCGGACACCCCTCTGCGGTGAGGAAGGGTGTTTGCACCCAATAAGGACGACAGCTCGATGGGCGGCACCACAGAGAGCGATCGGGAAAGGCGCTACAGATTCGAAGAGAAATGTAACTGCACGCTCACGTGGCGCAGTATAAAGCCACACACCTGGCTGCAGCCCCTACAGGGACTCCGCCCACTGCGTCTCCCCGGAAACGCCAGCAAGCCCCTGTCCTCCCGCAGAGCCGGCTGGTCCGGTGCTCCCAACCTCACGCAGTCTGCAGGTGCAGACACGCTGGGGAGACCTGCTGTCTTAAGAGCAATTCCTCCGGCAAAGAAGTCAGTAGCTAAACTGTATGCACATGTTATCGTTTAAGAAAACCCTGCATTCAAAGTATGAAAACCAGGAGAAGAACAAACGCAGGCCTGCCTTTTAAAGGTGAAAGGGGGAAAGAACATCGGGCAGGTGCCCCCAGGCTGGCGTCAGGTGGCCGCTCTGTGACTTCCCTCCCTCCCACCCTGTCTTTGGAACGCAACAGCCCTAATGGACCCCTGGTGAGAGCCAATCACTCCCCGGGGAGCCGGGGACCCCAGGCGGGTCAAGGATGCGGGACAGCGCAGTGCAGAGAACTAGTTATTTGCCAATTACTTGAGCAGCGCACCCCCCCCCCCGCACTGTCCAGGCTGTGGCGGGGGTCCAGTGAAATAAGCCACACACGATGCCCTTAGGCAAGCCGCAGCCACCCCACACCCTCAGGCCGCGTCCGGGTGGCCACTCCACACGGCTCATTCCATTGTTTCACAAATAGAAACATTTGGTCACCGCCCCGCCGCGGCCCCTCCCACCCCAGAGGGAAGCCGAGTCTGCTGACAACTCGGAAACTCTGCGTCAGGCGTTGAAGCCCAGGTATGGGCAGTTGGTGCGACCCGAGGCTGTAGCCGGGTGAGTGCAGGGGTGGGGCGCTGGGGGCACGCTGGGGTGGGGGGACAGCTTCCCAGCCCGGGCCCGCCCGCCCGCGCGGCGCCGCTGACCTTGAGCGAGGCCAGGTGCACGATGTCCGGGCTGAGCTCCCGCAGGCAGTTGTCCGCCGCCGCCAGCTCGCTGAGCAGCGGCAGCGCGCCGGGCCGGAAGAGCTCGGCGGGGAAAGCGTCCAGGCGGTTGCCGGTGAGGTTGAGCGTCTGCAGGCGCGGGGCGCAGCGCGCCAGGTCGGCGGGCAGCTCGCGCAGCCGGTTGCCGCTGAGGTTGAGGCTCTGCAGCTGCGGCAGGCCCGGCGGCTCGGCGGGGCCCAGGCCCTGGCCCGGCGGCAGCGCCTCCAGCGCGTTGCCCGACAGGTCGAGCACGCGCAGCGCGGGCAGCGGGCCGAGCTGGGGGCTCAGGCCGGGCCCCAGCGCGTTGCGCCGCAGCACGAGGCTCTGCAGCTGCGGGAGGCCCTGCGCCAGGCCCGGGCCCGGCTCGCGCAAGCTCCCGCAGCCGCTCACCTCCAGGTAGTGCAGCAGCGACAGCGTGAAGAGCCGCGGCGGCAGCCGCCCGCCCGCCGCCCGCACGCGCTCCTCCAGCGCGGGCCCCGTCAGCAGCAGCTCCCGCCGCCGCTGCCGCTCCGCCTGCTCCAGCTCGGGCCATGACTCCAACAGCGCCGTCGCCGCCGCCGCCATCGCGCCGCCGCCGCCGCCGCCGCGGGGGCTTCCGGGGCTGGGCGCGTCACTTCCGGCGCGGACCGGAAGGGGCGTGGAACGCGGGCCCACCTGGTCCTCCGGGGTCCCGCCCACGCCTCTGCTCCGGCGGGCCAGCCCTGGCCAGGCCCTCTGCGCCTCGCGTCTCCGCCGCAGGGTTTTGGGGTGTGCAGCGGCTCGCGCCAGTGCACGTCTCGCCGACAAGCTGGGACACCGAGTGGTCTCACCGCAGCCCGCCCCGGATCCTGCCCAGGCGTCCGTCGGCGGGAGAACGGACAGTAAACCGCGAGCCGTGCTTAAAGCGGACGAGCACGCGCGATGCCCGGGCCGCACGCGCGAAGACTGTGCGATTCCGTTTGCACAGCCCGAACGCCTGCCACGCTCGAGGTCACGCGAACTTGTGAGCCGTTCGCATGTGCTAAGTCTGTGAGGGCAGCCAGACGGTGATACGCTACTCCTGAAAAGCAGAGCCAAATCCGCCATGCTGCAAAACGAGAGCGCCTGCCTTTTCTGGAGGGAGCCCAATCATGCCCCAAGCCGACCTCGTGACACAGCGCGGGGCCGGCTTTCCAGGGCTGACGTCGGCTCACGAGCAACTGCGACTCCCAACTGCCGGGGGGAAGCTTTTAATGACACAGGCCTACTGTCCAGGGCCGGCCCCAGGCTGCAGTCAGAACCTGCATCTGCTCCCGGGTCCTGCAGGTGAGGCCCTGGCCGGAGGGCCAGCCCTGCCCGGTGGCAGCTGTGCTCCGGCAGTACAGGGAAAGGACGGGATGGACAGAGGGACGGCCCCGGAGCACACCAAGCACGCAAGAGAACGATGCCACCAGAGACGCGGGAGACAGGCCCTGGATGGCGAGGCAGCTACCAGGATAACACAGCCGCCGCTTCCAGGACCCTTTTAAAAATAAGTGCTGCCCTGGCTGGTGTGGCTCAGGGGACTGAGCGCTGGGGACTGAGCGCTGGCCTGCGAACCAGAGGGCCGCTGCTTCGAGTCCCAGCCAGGTCTCCGGTAGGGGGCGCTCGAGAGGCAACCACACTGATGTTTCGCTCCCTCTCTTTTCCCCCTCCCTTCCCCCTCTAAACTTAAATACATATATATATATATATATATTAAAGTAAGTACTAAGAGTGCACTCTGGAGGAAGGACAAAACTTACGGGACCACCTTGATCCAGTCCTCCGCGGAGATCACACATGGCACGTGACTCCCGCACCCTCTGCAGCCACAGGCTTCCCCTCCCCCCACACCCCACCGACCCAGGTGGGGTAAAATGTTGGAAGTAATTTTTGCTACTTTGAACTGTGAAGCTCTAAGTTTCAAGTTAATACCTACTTGTGTAAAGGACAACACTACATTGTAACTTAAAGTAGAAACAGTTACCAAAGTTGATAAAAGCATAAAACCACTCTACAAACCTACAGATAAAGTGTTGCATTTTTCCTTATTTGAAAAGCGAAAAAGCCTGGTCCGCTGGTAGACACACCCCCTTTTACAGGGTGAGCCCGCAGAGACTCCGGACTAGTCCCCTCACGGCCGCAGTGCGAGTGCTCACAGAACACTGGTTTTCCTCCACAGGGTAAAACTGGTCGGTAATTTTTTCTAATTTACATGAAGCTTAAAGTCTTTTAACTTCTTCAGCAGTAAATTCATTTTGACAACTTATTTTAGGACCAATTATAACCTCAAAATGAAAGTGACAAGTATTTAGTGATCTTTTTATTATATTAATATATTCCAGGTGAATGAACTAAGTCCTGAAACAGCAACAAAAATATATTACTCAGATATTTTATAACTCTGGCACCTGACCTGAAATAAAAACAAATAGAAAACTATGTTAAAATATCAAACAGTTGCAAATTTTCATCAAAAGGATTTACAATTGTATTCTAATGCCCATTTATAGATACAATTCTTTTAAATTAGGTAGAATATTCTGAAGTATGAAATAGAAATAAATGTTGTTAAATACCCACAACAGAGTCATGAAAAAATTCAGCTATCAGTCACCACCGGCAGTCAGACCACCTGCAGTCAGACCTTCTCGGACGGCCGGCGCACCTGCGGTTCCCGGGACGTCTCTAGCCTTTGTTTCCGGCGCCATAACAGTCAGCAACTCTGTGCGGCGTCTGCCAGCCGCCCGCCGCCACCCTGGGTCGCTCCGCCACAAACGCGCGATTCTTTGGTAACCAGCAAGGCTAACCTGTTTCTAATGCACCCAATTTTGTCAACCACTAGAAACTAAGTATTTTTATAAATAGTTGTAAGTTAAAATATATGGAAAACATGTATGTACGCCTTAAAACTTTTGACTGGAAAGATAAATCTCTTGGTTAACTTTTCTCATTATTCTGTTTGAAAGTGTTTTATCTGTACTTCGAAAACGGATTAGAAAACGGCCAACGCGTTTTTGAGGCCCGAACGGGTTACTCTGTAACTATCTCGGCATCCGAGGAAGCGGACCGCGGCGTCGGGCCACAGGACGGGACGCCGAGGGCCAGCTCGCTGTGGTGTCGGCGGCCGGGCGCCGGGGCGCACGGGCCTGGGCGGGAGGAGGCCGGGGGTGGCGAGCAGGTCCCGGACTCGGCTGCGCCAGGCGCCCCGAGAGGAGGCGCTGGAACCACTTCCGTGCGTGGGGCTGGTCCGGAGCGGGCAGGAGACGGGTTTCGAGTTTGGTTTCGCCGTCGTGAGCGGTGCGTTGGCTTTCAGTGTCACACGGAGTGTGTGCGAAAGGGGACCGCACAGTCCGGACCCCACCGTGGTCCTCAGAGGGCCGGGGGGAGACGGACACCAGGCGTGAGTGCTGGAGGGACCGGTTGTCAGGAGCTGCTGTGTTTTCTTAACCTTTATTCCTTGTCTCGGAGGGAAGCACGGGCCGTGCAGACGCTGCCGGGGGGGGGGGGGGGGGGGTCCGAGCACACGCTCGCGCCCCGCCCGCCAACCCGGCAGACCGGCCCCCGCGGGAGGCGGGGGCAACCGACACACGCAGGTCTCCAGCGCAGCCAGCTCGGAAACCGGGCACCCCCGCCCCACGCCCACCCGGCCGCCCGCCACCTGCTCCCGGCCCCCCGGGCAGCACACGGCTCCGGGGCGGCCCGGCTGCGGGCGGCACAGACCTGCTTGTTTCCGGGTGCGCCGCAGAGGCCGGGTCCGAGCTCCGGAGGCCGCTTCTCGGGTCGTCCCCACACGGCGCCCCTGGGGCCAGCAGCGCAGCACATGCATGTGCCCCCCCCCCCCCCGAAGATGGCTTCTAGGAGAGATTTCACGGGGGATATTTGCTCGGTCCCCACAGAGACGAGGAGACAGAGGTCCGTCGCGTCATCGCTTCGTGAGGGTCCTGCCAGAGCTTTTACTCAGGCCCCCCTTTGGGGTGGGGATCTTGCTTCCCGCCTTCGGCCCCGAGCTCCCGGCCTTGGCCGCGGCTGGGCCTCTGCCTGCGGGGGACACGGGCACAGAGAGCAGAGGCGCCGTGTCAGAGGGGAGGCCGATGCCCGAGCCGGAGCCCAAAGCTACGGGGACAGCGTGGGTGGCCGGGAGTGAGCAGACACTGGGGAGGGGGAGGGCAGGAGGGGAAGTGACACTCCCATCACTCGTCCGCTGGGGCCAGCCTGCACGGCGGGGTCAGGAGAGGACAGCGGTCACCCAGCCCCGAGGCGGTGGCCGCAGAGGCGCACACACACACTCGCGCGATGGTGGAGGAGGAAGGAGGCCTGGACCGTCTACCACGGCCCACATTCTGATCTGAACCCTTGGTTCTGGAAACGGGGAAACGGGCAGCCGCCTGACCGGAGCGCCATGGCCTGGCTGAGTGGCTGCAGGCAGCCCCTCTGTGAGCCTCCCGTCCCCTCGGGCGTGCGTGTGCAGCCCTAGCGCCCCGCCGGGCAGACGCGCACAGCGGCCAGTCCCCTGCTGGCCGCCCCTACTGGCCGCCCCTGCCCTCCTCACGCCCCTGAAGTGGGGTGCACCGCAGGCTTTCTGGCGAGGAAGTTTTCTTACGAGAAACACCCCTTTCCTGCGGAGCGTTCTAAGTCTGCCATCAGTGACCACTCGGGGGCCCAGGGCCAGGACACAGAGCTGCTGGCGGGACGCCCCCTGGCTGGCGGCAGGGGAGGGGCGGGTCCTCACCCTGCGGCGGAGGCGGGGCCTTGTGCAGCACGTGCGTCCTGCGCAGGTTCATGGTGCAGCCCGCGGGGCCCATCAGGTGGGCTTTCCACGCCTGGAACGAGAGGGGCGGGGTGTCGGCCGGGGCCCTCACAGCCCCCCATGCTGCCTGCGGTTAGAAAGGCAGCCACACCGGGCGGGGGCCTGCCCCTCACGCTGAGCACTGTGGGGACTGCGCTGGACCCAGCCCTCCCGCCCTCCCGCCCTCCCCAGCGCCGGCACCGTGGCTCCCGCCCCGAGCCGCAGCACAGAGTGGCCGCCTGGGGCCGAGCGGGCGGGTAACGCGGCTCGGGGAGCTCAGGGGCAGGCGCTGGGGTGGCCTCTGGGAGCTGAGGGCGGCCCCAGCCGACAGCCAGCAAGAAAACGGGGGCCTATCCCAGGACGACGAGGAAACAGTCTGCTGGAAACAACCTCTAGGGGCGCGGGGGACGCGGGCAGAGCAGGGTGGCCGCTCAGTGTGGTCCCTGAGGACCCCCACTTCCCACACGGGGGGGCCAGCCACAAGTGCTGCCCGGCTGTGGGACGTCATCTCTCAGAGCACTTGAGGTCGGGCAGGAAACGACGCAGGCGAACCCAAACGTGCGTCGAGCTGGGGGCAGTGACCGCAGAACGGACACAGGGCCCCACACCGCCGGGGGTCGCGCTCCTCGTGCCGCAGCGAGGCAGAGAGCACGCGGAGGGGGGAGCGCAGCCAGCCTCGGTGCGCGGCCTCCCTGGGCCTGGGGAGCACGCACTCTGACCCCGAGGTCACGGCCGGCGACCACCGCAGTGGCCGTCTGCCGGAGAGGTGACGTGCAGTCTGGGAGGGGGCGCCCGGGTGAGGGCGGGTGACCTGTGTTCAGGAGGCGATGGGACCCGACGGGAGCCCGCGCTGGCCTTTGCCGTGTCCTGTTAGGTGTCCCATGTTTTCTGGGAGGATGAGGGGCACGTAAAGGGCCACAGGACAGCCAGGGCAGCCGGGCCGCTGTGGGTCCCGGGCTTCCTGTGGCCGACACGAAGCGGCAGGGCAGGGCGGGGCGGGGCGGGGCTGGTAGCCAGAGCCCTGTGGCGCCTCGGGCCGGGCTGGGACGGGGGTGAGGGGCGGCGACTCAGCGGGTTGGAGCGGAAGCAGCTGGGCCGAAGCAGGTCCCAGCACCCGCTGCTGGGCACACGGCAGGCAGCTCTGACTCCCTCCAGCCGCCCCTGCCCCCGGCTCGGGCCCCAGAGGAGCAGGGCAGGGGAAGGGTAGGAGGGAGGTGGGGACGGAGGGCCCGACCCCACTCCGATCACACGGGGCAGAGGACAGCCTGGAGCCGGGCAGGCAGCAGGATTTCCAAACTGGATCGGGCTCACTTTCATCAATCAAGAGGCACCGGAGCGCTGTGGCGTCCAGCCCCGCCGAGATCTGGGGCCTGACACGTGGGGGAGAGCCAGCCGAGGCTGGGAAACGTGGGTCCCCGCCGCGCCTTCCCAGAGGCCGCGGCGCAGGCGGCCGGGGCGCTCACCTCCTCCCCGGGCGCGAAGTTCTCGTGGCACAGAGGGCACCGGTTGGCCAGCTTCTCCGGCTTGGCGGCTGAAACGGGGTCCGAGAGGCGGGACTCGGTTACTCCCGCAGGGCTTGGGTTGGGGAGGGCAGCAGGGGTGCCCAGGGCGGCCCGCAGACCCTTGATGTGCCGGCCTCCCGCGGCGGGGCCTTCCCTCCCTGGGGCGGGCCTGGGGACTCACGGTGACAGTCCCTGGTCCTGAGGTGCCCGGGCAGCTCGCCCTTCAGAACGGCCTCGCTGCAGCGGAAGCACCTGCCGAACGCGTCCCTGCGGTCGCACTCCGTCAGCAGGTGCTCCGTCAGGCCGCATATCTCCACCACCTGGCTCCAAGACACAGGGCAAGGCTGGCCGTCGGGACACCGGGGACGCCCGCCGGCGCACCCGTCCCCCATGCCCGTGGTCATCAGAGCCCCTGCCGTTGGAGGCGAGGGTCGGCATGCAGGTCGGCCGAGGCTGGGACCCACCGCTCCGAGCCCCTGCGGTCACGCGCTCCCCAGGGCCCTCGGCGGTAGGGGTGCTAAGCCAGCTGCGTCAGAGCGGGGCTGGGGCTGGGGCTGGGGTCGGGGCAGGAGGACATTCCTCAAACCCAGCGCAGACAGCGTTGGCTGAGACTGAGGTGAGGGGGGCAGCGTGCCGGTGGGAGGCTGTGTCCACCAGAGACACGCAGGACGACCACACGGCCCGGCCCGGCCCGGAGTGGGCGGCGGCCCCGCACAGGCCCCCGTCAGGTGCATAAACAATGAAGACCAGTGAGTTAAAAAAAAATTGGCAACCGACTTAAAAACAGGCAAGAGACTAGGAGGTGCCCCATGGAAGAGGCAGCCAGGTGGCCCAGAGGCCGCCGGGCGGGAGCCCGGCCTCCCACAGCCGGGGACTCGCATCCCCTAGCCGGGCGAGGCAGCACGCAGCACTGCCGCTCCGGTGGCGGGCGCAGACAGTCCCGCGCGCCCGGGTGCCAGGGTGCGCGCGCTGCAGCCGAGCAGGGCAGGCCCGCCGGGTCCGTGCCCGGGGTGCGCCGCGGCTGGGTCTCGCACCCCCAAGTCGAGAGCAGCGTTATCCTTGGGCCCGAGCCGCACACGACCCGCGTTCCCCGACCAGGAGGGCGGACGGGCACACCGCGATGAGGGAACCAGCCACACAAAGTGATTTCGCAGCGTACGCCCCTTTTGCACAGAACTCGGGGGGCAGCGGTGCTGACTGACTCGCAGCGTGGGAGACCCGGGCCGTGCGGCTCCGACTGCGAGGCCTCCTGGCCGGGTGCAGTCGCGCGGGCGTCTACCCTGCGACGGCTCTCGGAGCCGTGAGGCTTGTGACGGGCGCGCATTTGCAGACACGTCACACTCCAAAGACAAAGCAGCGGCAGCCTCAAACGGGAGGGAGACGGACGCCCACCGCTCCCCCCGCCGCTGACCTGCCGGCAGTGCTCGCAGCGCGTCAGCATGGGGCAGCGCTTCCAGTAGTGCAGGTCCAGGCCCTCCTCCGTGAAGGCCGCGCTGCGCTCCCCGCAGAAGATGCACAGGCTGCGGGCGGGAGCGCGGGCGGGAGCGCGGGCGGGAGCGCGGGCGTGAGGGGCGGGCCGGCTTCCGCGGCCCCTCCCTCCGCAGTGCGTGCGCGTGCCCCCCCCGCAGCGGCCCGGCCCCGCCCTCTCGAGCCCCACTCTTTCACGGGGCGGTCCCTCGCCATCCCCTGGGGGGGGGGGCGCGAAGGCCCGCTACTCACTTATCCAGGCAGTGGCTCTCCGGAGCGCCAGGAGCACGGGGCGGGGCTGCCTCTCTCCCGGGACCTGCTGGGGAGGTCAGAGAGACGGCAGCCTCAGTAGCTGTCCGTGGAAACCCTTTCCACATGTTTCCTGACCACCCCGTTTTTTTAAGTTAGTCACATCGGATGTGAAACGTGTTTAAAAAAAAATACATTAATAGCCCTGGCCGGTGGGGCTCAGTGGATTGAGCACTGGCCTGCAAACCAAAGGGTCGCCAGTTCGATTCCCAGTCAGGGCACATACCTGGGCTGCAGGCCAGGTCCCCAGTAGGGGGTGCTGGGGAGGCAACCACACGTTGACGTTTCCCTCCCTCCCTCCCTCCCACCCTTCCCCTCTGTCTCAAAAGGAACAAAGTCTTTTAAAAAACACAAGTGAGTAAAGGTGGAGCGTTCACAGTCTGCCCCGACACCTGAAACACGGCAGGTGAGCCACACCCGCCGAGCCAGCCGAGGTGGCTTCACGCGCACCTCCGCAGTGCGCGCCTGACGTACCCGGAGCCTCTGCCTTGGCAGCCTCGCCGCTCTCCTGCTCCTGGGACACAAAGCCGGACCGGTCAGGCAGGTGGCCGCTGAGCGCAAGGGTCTGTCCCCGGGGTCAGCTCCCTTCGCCAGCGTGCGCCCCGGGAGGGGTGACCCTGCCCACCCGCACTCGGGCCCCCGTGACTCTGCCCACCTGCTCTCGGGCCCCCGTGACCCTGCCCACCTGCACTCGGGCCCCCGTGACCCTGCCCACCTGCACTCGGGCCCCCTCAACCCTGCACTCGGGCCCCACTCGACCCTGGCCCACCTGCACTCGGGCCCCCCCTGACCCTGGCCCACCTGCACTCGGGCCCCCGTGACCCTGCCCACCTGCACTCGGGCCCCCTCGACCCTGCCTACCTGGAACTCGGCCTGCATTTCTCTCAGCGCTGCCAACTGCCCTTGTAGAACCTTAATTTCTTCTTTCTTTTGCTTCTCTGCTTCTTCTGTAGCCGCTCTTTTCTGCGCCTGGCATGAAGGTTGTCGTCCCGTTAGAACAGCTCTCGGGGGCGGTCTGGGAGACCGGGGACACGGGACACACGCGTTTCTCGTGCACTGTGGGGGTCACTAAGACCCGTCCCGGAACGAAGGTGCAATGCGCGCCTCCCGGCTTCCGTGAGGAACGTTCCGGACAGATGAGGCGGGGCGTGTCCTCACCGCGTCCCCCGCCCGCGCCACTCCTCGAACACGCGGCTCACCCCGTCAGGCCGCCTCGCCAGCCGGGACGGCAGCGTCACGTCACGGAGGGGACCCACCCTGATCTCGGCGTCGGTGGGCCGGCCGTCGATTTTCGCAAAGCCCTCGAAGACGGTCCTGTAGAGCACGTTCCTGCGCGCGGTGCTGTCGTCCGCGGGGAGGTAGTCCAGCACGGGGGCCCGGTGCTGCCGGTACATGTCCAGGACCACCCGCACCGCCGCCTCGCGGACCTCGTACACCCGGTGCTCCAGGGCGCGCACTGCGAACTGGACACCGCGGGGGGCGGGGGGGGCTGCTGTTACTGCTTCTCAGGGTAACGGGGGCCGTTTCGTCCGTCCAGCACCTCGACGAGAGCTGGAGGCACAGCACGCGGATTGGACAACGGACGGAGGAGGAAACGGCCCCAGAGTTGCAGCCACTAGGGACACGGAGTTTCCCCCGCGGGGGGGGCCGGACACACGCGCACGAGGGGCCAGGCTGGACGTGGAGGGTGTGCTGTGCTTTTCTCTGCTCGCTGCACCCGTGCTCTGCCCGGGCCACACGCCCTTCCACAGGCGGTCAGTGTCCTCAGTGACCTCAGACACGGAGACGAGGAGACGGACCCGCCTGGGCGCACCGACCCTGCAGGCCGGCCAGCGCTACAGCTGCGCGTTCCGTTCGGCCTCTGCCTTTAGCAACGGGACACTGGCCACCCTGCGGGCCCCCGGCTGTCTCCGGGCAACAAGCGGGTTCTCCTGGAGCTGGCCAGCACGGCCGGGCACGCCCTGCCCCCCACGCCTTCCTTTACCGTGCAGTGTGCACGCCCCAGGTGTGTGCACGCCCCAGGTGTGTGCACGCCCCAGGTGTGAGCACACACGCCGTGCTGTGCACATCAGCGGAACTGGCTTCCTTTTGTCCTCCATACATTTTCAAGTTTCACGCATTTTAACTGCTTTGGGGCCTCCTGTCCCACTAACGTGTCCCAGGGTCTGTGTCCCGTCTCAGGCTGCCGCCACACGCTCGGGAAGGGCCTGTGGGCGCCCGGTCTCTCTCCTCCTGGGCTCCCTCACGTCCACGGTCTCGGCGTGCCGTGCACCCCTGGGCGTCACTGCCAGGCGCCGCGCCCCTCCAGGAGCACCGGCCCACGGGTCTCACCTGAGCCTGCCACCTCCTGCCTCTCAGCTCACTTCCCTTGTACCCCTCCCCAACGACTCCTCCGTCCCTCCCCGCCACCCACTGTCTTCTCCGTCTGTCCTCTCCCCCGCACGGCGCGCTCACCTTCATCACGTTGTCCACGGTGAAGCCCGTGCCGTCGGTGCCCAGGTCCCTCAGCAGCCGGGCCAGCAGGTCCATCTGACTCTGGGCCAGGTGGGCCGAGGCGTTGGCCTTCAGCGGCTGCACCAGGTAGGACGGGACCATCTGGAGAGATCTCACTTCCTTAAACAGGGCCAGCTCCTGCAGAGACCGGCACCTCACTCCTGCGTCGGGGGTGGGGGGGGGGGGGGGGCTGCGGGCGGGCAGCGCGGTCGCACACGCTCCCCCAGGTCGGCTCTGGAGGGGGGACGCAGGGCGATACGGGGGGGGGGGGGGGGGAGGCGGTGACTGCCCCCCCGACCGGGACGGTCCTACCTGAATGAAATTCGAGGCCATAGCCCGCAGACGAGCGGACGAGTCCCCGGTTCTCGCCAGCAGGACGGGGACGGTCCTCTCCACGCAGTGAGCCGTCTCCAGCCTGCCTAGCCTGTGCCTGGGGATGTACTGGGTGATGATCATCTTCAGCAGCTTCAGCGAGGCCTGGAACACCTGGGGGGCGACAGAGGCAGGGGGGCCGCTGGGACGCCCCTGCAGCAGCTGCCCGCTCTGCTCTCTGCAGGGCTGGGAGCCCTTGCCCGTCTTGGCCGGGGCCGAGCAGCCCGCAACCAGACGCAGGCCGGCCCCCTGGGGGCACCCACCCCGCAGCCCCACCCCGGCGCCCCAGGTCTCCGAACAGTAAACCCTGAGGTGGACGCTCATGGGGGGGTCACAGGGAACAGGCCCCCGAGCCCCGGCTCCGAGGAGCGCGAAGCGGCAGGGGCTGCTCACGGCCAGCGCGACCGACCGAGCCACCTGGCGCCCGGACCCTCCACTGACGGCGTTTCTAGAGCCTTCACTCCCAGGGATAGTGAGGCGGGAGCTGACGGTGGTTCCGGTGGCCGGGCGGCTTCCCGGATCCTCTGACCCCGGGGAGGGACAGGGCTCTGCAGGGGGGACCCCGGGGCCCGCGGGCGAGGGGCTCACCGGGGTCACGATGTCTCGGATGGCCCTCCTAACGAGGAAGACGGCCGCCCGCAGCGCGCTCTTCAGCTCCTCCCGCTGGGCCCCCGCGGGCAGGCCCGCCAGCCGCTCGTGCAGCGCCAGCAGCGCGTCCTCGCGGTGCGACCACGTCTTGGAGTAGGCCCCGGCCACCTGCAAGCAGAGTCCGGCTCCCTCGGTGGGCGGGTCGGCGACGCCGCCGCCGCCACCGCGGAAGAGGGCTCCGACACCGGGCCTCTCCAGAGCACGTGCGTGCGCTCGGAGAGGGCAATCGCTCTCCTTCCCTGGTAGCCCCGAGACTGCGCTGGGCCACGCAGAGTGGGGGCAGCTCCCGGGAGAGCCTCATCCCGCCAGCCCGGGCGAGGCCGCCGCCCTGTCCCGTTTCTCCAGCACGGACCGCGCCCCCCCGCCACAGGCTGGCGCTCACGGGGGCGGGAGGGGCCTGTCTGGGGGACACGCTGGCGAAGGCTCATGGTGGAGCTGCCGCCGCCCAGAGTTCCGGACGACGGGCTGGAGGCTGCCCGGTTGGCTCACGAGGACAAAGCGCCGTCACCGTCCCACGCGGGGCTCTCCCCCGGGCCCTCCCCTCCGCCCAGCCACGGGAGAACGTGGACAGGCCACCGAGAGCGTGCTGTGGGCGCACCCTCACACCCTTGGCCTCCAGCCCCCGTGCTCGGGTGTGGGGACCCGACAGCAAGGGGCTGCTAGGGACGCGGCGGGCTGGTGGGAAACCTGGAGCCCAGGAGGGCTCTGCGGAGACCCTGCGCCAGGACAGACGGACGGACAGGGGGCCCGAGCCCGTGAGGCCTGGGGCCCCGCTGGGGACGGGAGCACAGAGCTGGGGCTGCCCTGCTGTGCGAGCCCCTGAGAGGGCTGGGCTCCTGGAAGGTGGGGGACGGTGCTGGGGACGCGGGAGCGCAGCGGGAGGGGAGGGGCCGGACCCCAGACGGACGGGCAGACGGACAGAGCCCCTCACAAGGCCACACAGGCAGCGGTCGGCCGGCCGGGCAGGGCCTCGAGGACGGGACGTTGTGGATGCCACTCGGTCACGGGGCAGGGGTCGGAGGTCAGAGCCCGTCAACGGCACGTGTGCCATGCACACGCACACACACACACACATGCACAGCTGTGCTGGACTCACTCACCAAGGCCTCTCCCAGCACCTCGACGGCGGAGCTGGCTTCCCGCAGCGCCTTCTCCGTCAGGGGCTCCGGCTCGCCCAGAGCGCCCCCTCTCGGCGCCTCGCCGGCGTCCACGTCACTCCTGTCCGGCTCCCCGGGGGCCGCTCCGGGCAGCCTGCGGGCTGCGGGGAGCGGCCGCTCGTCATAGGGCAGGGGCTCGCGCTGCGGGGGAGGGAGGGGCTGGCGAGCTCCGCGCGGACCCCCAGCCGACCGAGGGCGCGTGCAAGCCCCGGTGCCGTGTTCCGGCGAGAAGACACAGCAGACGAGGTGCCGTCAGGCCTCCCGGCTCTCCGGCCGGCCTCCTCGCAGCCTCTCGCGGCGGCGGCGGTGGGTGCTGCCCCAGCTGCCCCAGCCCTCCCGCCAGCGGGCCCTTCCGCGGGCGTCTGTGCGCCCTCACGGGGGACCGGCCGCAGCTCAGGAAGACGCCGCACGCCCCCCTCAGGGGATGGGGCAGCGGCCGGCGGAGGCCCGGCCTGTCGGACTGCAGAGGGGCCCCCAGGGCCGTGTGACTGCGTGCTGGTCACTTATGTCACCGTGTTCCGGCTTCAGCACTGACCTGCCCACGCCGGAAGCCGGACAGGACGGGGTCTGGCTGTTCTGCGCCCCGACGGTCCCTGCACCGGGAGAGCCCCCGGCAGGAGGCAGGGCGCACGCGTGTCTGCGGGACGACCCACCTGGGACCGAACCGCGCTACCTACGTGGGCCTCGAGGCGAGCGTGTGGGGCGGGCGGCGACGGCGGGCCCGCAGTGCGGGGCTGGGGGGCGCCGTCCGGGGAGCGCGCCGAGGGCTGTTCCTGCAGGGAGGGTCCCGCGAGCCGGGTTTCTGCCCCCCTCTCCTCTGGCGGCGGCGGCGGCGGCGGGCGGCGAGGGCTTCCAGGACGCACGAGGGGCTGCAGCGGTACGTCGAAGGGCCTCTGCACCTGGGGACAAAGGGACATTCCCTTCCCTCGGCCACCGCACCCCAGACCCCCGGGGCCCCCGTGCGGGGGGGCAGAGTGGCTGTCTGCACCGAGGATGGCCCACAGGGGCGGCGCGGCGCTCACCGGCCTGCACGGCCACCGCGTGCACCGCACAGTGACAGGCACGCCGAGCCCCGGCGTGGCCGTGGGCACTCGTGCGCGGTCACCTCAGCAGGGATCACAGCTCGCGGCACGGCACCGGGGCCGGACTGGAGGACTGTGCTCTGTACTCCGTGTCTGCAGACACAGGGCCCCCTCATCCTCACAACGCGCGCTGGGCGTGGTGACAGGCATCTCGCTGGTGCCCACCGCTGCCCCTGGGGAGTGTGACGGGGAGGCTGGGACGCAGGGTGGAGGAGTGAGCCCGGTCACTCAGCTGGAGGGCGGGTAGCAGTATGGCCCTGGTCCGCTCTCCCTGCCCCCAGGTCTGGGGCCCAGCCTGCTGCTCTGTAGCTCAGGTGCACACAGCTGCCCGCGCCGAGGGGGGGGGCCGGGGGGGGGCCCTAGTTCAGGGCAGCGCCGCCAGCCCAGGCCCCGGCTGCTCTCCCGCACGCTCCCCGGGGCATGTGGGGTGGGGCTGTCGGCAGCTCGGCCTCACAAATGAGGAAACATGGGGGAGCGAGGTGCCCTGCCCCCCCTGGGCCCCCTTCTGCTCCACTGTGGATCCCCCTGGTGCCCGCTGAGGCCGCGGCCACCCGGGGCGGGCACACGGGAGCCAACGTCGCCGGGCACGGCCATCAGGTTTCGCGGCGCGGTGGCCAGCTCTGTGGACAGCGGCACAGGGCCCCTCCCCGTGGGAGCGTGCCTACCAGCTCGGGGTCCACCAGGCTGTGCAGCCGCAGCTGCGCGTAGGCCCGGCTGCGGTACTGCTCCATCTGCCGCTTCTTGTGCTTGGCCAGGTCGTAGTCCTCCTTCTCCACCGCACAGCGCTTCTCCACCTCGTACCGGCCCAGCCGCTCCCCGACCTGCGGCACAGGGCCTGCTGTCCCTCGGCCAGGCGGGCCGCGGGGGTGCTGGGCCCCGGCGGGCATGCCCTGTGGCGACGGCGGGAGGCACGACCCGACCCCCCCCCCCCCCGAGCCTGTGCTGCCCGGGCCCCACCAGCATCTGAGAAACGCCGCGAGTTCGCGGTGGTGTTCGGGCCCCTGGCACCCCCACACCCGGTGTCGTTGGGGCGGCGCCTGCAGAGGGCCGCGCGGGCGCCGGGCCCCGAGTGACCCGGTCACGGCCTTTGGAAGCCCACCTTCTGCAGGTCAGCGATGGCTTGCTTCAGGTTCTTGGCGAAGTCGTACCGCTCCTGCTGGACGGCTTCGCGCTTCCGCTCGTCCAGCTTGCGGATGATCTGCGCCACCTCCGGGTCCTGGTACATGTCGAAGGCCAGGTCGTCCAGCGGGGAGATATAGTCAGACTTCCTGCGGGAGGACCCGGCGCGTGAGAGCCAGGGCCCGCTCCGGGAGACCGTGGGGAGGGGCCCTGCGGGGGCAGTGCTGACGGCACAGTTGGGACCAGGTCCCCGGCAGGCCCTGCCTCCGGAACCGTCATGGCCTCAGGTCACAGGGCCGCCCAGGGGGTGCCAGGCCGCACGGCATGTGCTCTGGCCCTGACTCGGTGGCCCGTGCCGGGCTCTGCCCGCGGCCCAGGGGACAAGACAGTGCGTGGGAGTCAGTGCGTGGGAGTCGGGTGGGGACGGGAGAAAACCAATGCTGGATGCACGCAGACCAGGCCCCACCCCTGTGAACGACGGGGAGAGGAGCTGGTGAAAACCGCACTCACAAAAACCGCATGGCCTCAGCCGGTGCGGCTCAGCGGACTGAGTGCTGCCGGCCTGTGAAACTACGGGCTGCCGGTTCGATTCCCAGTCAGGGCACAGGCCTGGGCTGTGCGCCAGGTCCCCAGTAGGGGGCGTGTGAGAGGCAACCACACATTGTTCTCTCCCTCTCTTTCTCCCTCCTTTCCCCTTCTCTAAAAAGAAACAAAATCTTAAAAAAGAAAACCTGGTATGATGTGTATTTCTCACTTCTTCAAAGAACGAAGTTTGAAAGTCTAATAACCGTTAGGTTGGGTCAGTTAACACCTTTCACTTTCACCCGCGAATTTGCCGGTGCCAGCGAGGTACCAACGGGTGGCCGGCGGGTCTTTCTTCCAAACGCGCTTCAGAAACCGTCTGGTGGGACCGTGCCCCCGGGCGGCCGACCCGACCCCGTGGGAGGCGGAGCCGGCTCTCGGCCGCCCTCCTCCTGGAGGCGACTCGCACTCTGCCGACGCAGAGGAGCCCCCGAGGGTCGCCGCGGTGGGGGTGGGCCCTTACCCCGTACACGTGCCTTCCAGAGCGGGGTCCTCCGCGCTGTGCCCCAGGTAGTGGTCAATCAGCTTCTCTCGAGAGGCCTGTGGGGGCGGCAAGCTCCGCTCAGGGCCTCAGAGGAGACGGAGAAGCGGCCCAGAGCCCCCGCTAGGGGCGGTGTGACGCAAGGACACTGCCAAGTGTCAGTGACCCCCGTCTCGTGGGGGGACAGCCAGGACTCTCGAGGGAAAGAAAGTTTACACCCCGGCGGGGGTGGCTCAGTGGACTGAGTGCGGCCTGTGGACCAAAAGGTCATCCGTTCGACTCCCAGTCAGGGCACAGGCCTGGGTTGCGGGCCAGGTCCCCAGTAGGGGGCGCACAAGAAGCGGCCACACACGGATGTTTCTCTCCCTCTCTCTCTCCCTCCCTTCCCCTCTCTCTAAAAATAAATAAAAGCTTTAAGAGAAAAAAGTTGAATTGCTCATAGTCGATTTTATAAAGATTCTAAGACACCTTTTGTGACGACAATAAACCCTTCCCTCCCGTTAGAAGTAAATTCTCCTCTTTGGAAAGGGCACCTCCCACACTTACGGGGCTGCTTTCTTCCCCGAAGTCCGCAGGGTCTCCGATGATGTTCATCGCCACCAGCGCGACCTACGAGAGGGAGGGGCCGGCAGAAGCGGAGCGTGATGGGCTGGCGACGGCGCGGACCCTCTGTGACGGCCAGCCCGGGGGCACACGGGATGACGCACGCCGACACGCAGTGGAACCTGCTCCCGGGCAGAACTACCGACGACGGCTGTCACCCGTCACACGTGCTATGGTTCTGACGCTGACCCCAGTGGCCACCGTAAAGGTGGAAGGGTGCTAAACAGTAACAGCTAGAAACCTCATTTGTGTTTTTTTAATCCTCACCTGAGGACGTGCTTACTGATTTTAGAGAGGGGAACGTGGGGGTGGGGGGAGGAGAGAGAGAGACATCAACGTGCGAGAGAAACATCGACGGGTTGCCTCTCACGTGTGGCCCGACCTGGGGCCGAACCCGCAGCCTTCAGGTGTACGGGACGGCCTGCGGCCAGGGCAGAGCCCGCTCTCACGGAGCCGCCGGCCCCAGGTCAGGCACGGGCCTCACCCATGCGAGGACCCTGGTGGACCGGACAAGGAATGAAAGCCGAGGCTCACACAGCGCGGACTGTCACTGCAGGGGGAGGAGCCCCCGGCCCGTGGGGACCCCGCGGTGGACCAAGCCCACGGCCTGCCCAGGGCTCCCGCGGCTCCCGCGGCTCCCACAGCCCCGAGAGCTGGACGCCCCCGTGAAGGACGTGTGGAGCACGCCTTTCCGCAGAGACACAGGCCCCACGGCCCCTCGAGGAGCCGGGCGGGCGTCGCACCTGGTTGTAGATGTTGTACTTGTTGGCGTGGTTCTGGTGGAAAATCAGCTTCAGGAACTGGCCCGCCGCGTCCACGTACACCGACTTCAGCTCCCGGGCCTTGCAGCCCGTCTTCTCGTTGTCGCAGAGGGACACGTACCTGAGGGCGCACGGTCGGCCGTGTGGACGGGACAGCGTGCTGGCCGGGGAAAGGGCCCCGTCCCCACGCACCAGGCGGGTTTCGGTGAGCACGGGGGGGCGGGGGTCTAGGGTGAGCACCCCGGGAAGAAAGCCCGGGTGCGCGATTCTCCTGGGTCCCCTTACGGCGAGTTCTGCGTGTACAGGGAGGGTGGGCGGGCTGGGAGGCACTGTGGTGGCGCCCCGCTGGCTGGCCCGGGGGGTGGGGGGAGGAGGGGGCCCAGAGGGCGGGCTCCCGGCCCCGCCTACCCGAGCCTGCGGAACCGCTCGGCCTGGCAGGGGGCGAAGTACTCGGGCAGGCTCTCGCTGACGTAGAACTCCACCTTGCTGGGGATCATGTACTGGTGGGCCAGCAGCTGCAGCTTCCTTATGCGGCACCGCTCCACCATCTGCACCACGATCTCTTGTGGGAACTGGCAGAACCTGGGGGCAGACACGGGCTGGTTTCCATGTGATGACGGCCCTTCCCCGGCCCCCTGGGAGCCCCCCCCCACCCCGTCCTTGGTGACAGGACACGAGGGGACGAGGACACCTCCGGCCCTTCCCAACGCTGCACGGTGGGACTGGAGGCCTGCAGTTAGGACTGGGCCTGACCCGCCCGCCCCCCGTGAGCGGCACTCGGGGTGGCCGGGATGGGGCCGCAGGGAGCCCCGAAGTCCACCACGAGGGAAATGCATGCCTCTTTGGCGGCCGTCCCGGCGGGTGAGACGGAGCCCAGGGACTCCCCGCGGGAGCCCCCAACACACCTCAGGGAAAGCCCGGCTCGCAGGGCCCGGCCCCGGTCAGCGCCCGCCGCCCGTGTCCAGCGTGCCCCCCCATGCATGCTCAGCGTCTGGAGGAGACCCCTGCACCGTCCACGCTGGGGCTTCCCGCTTCCCAGGAGGCGACGCAGCGCACTGGACCCTAACCTGGACGCGGCAGAGCCACCGCGCCGGCACAGGCCTCCCGGGGAGTGACCACGACCCCGGCCGGGGGCGCCGTGCTGGAGCTGGCGGGCATCCGGGGCATCCGGGGCAGGGGACGCACCCGAGGGCGGCCGGTCGGGAGAGGCCCTGCCGCCACCTGAGCCCCTGCCCTCGGCGCCGCTGCCCACTGGCCTCGCGGCCCCGTCCCTCACTCTGCCCCTCCCCCCAGCAGTCACTCTCTGAGAACTGGACGAGGCTGCTGTCCAACTCTCCCATCCGCGGGTGCCCTGCTCCAGCCTCGCCCAGCTGGCCCTCGCTACAGCCAGCCGGCCTCCCCCACTCCCAGTCCACCCCTGTTAGACAAAAACACGCTCCAGAAAGCCCCAGTTTGAGAGAGCCCTCCGTGTCCCCACCTCCCCCTCGGGCTGCCCCCAGTCTCCCAGCTGCCTTCCCCACCAACCACCCCTCAGGAGGCCTCAGGAGCCAGCGGTGACAGTCCGCAGGGTGACTTCTAGCACCCCCTTCCCCACCCCCCCCAGGGGGCTCCCTGTCCCGGCCCCACCTCCCCCAGGGCCCCGCCCCCTGACCTGGACTGGGCCCCGGGCTGGGTTCCAGGCTCTCCTCTCCCCAGGCCCTGGGCAGCCTGTCCGCCCTGGGGCTTTAGGACTCCCCTGCCCTTCGGGGGCTCCAGCTGCTGTGGCTGAGTCCCTCCCTAGAATCTCGGTGGCGACTTCCCTTTCCCTGCAGGAATCTGGAAAGCACTACCGGACCACGGCCCCAGCTACCCCCACCCACGCAGGGCCCAGCCCACCCTGACGCTTCCACAGGAGGAGCAGGCCTCCTCCCAGCCCGGACTCCCGCCGGGCTTGCTGCTGGGTGACACGGCCTCCTCCCAGCCCGGGCAGCCTCGCTCCGTGGACCCCAGGAGGTGGGGAATTACCGTGTGGACGTGAACCCGGGGAAACCCCACAGCCGTGGGGAGCGCCGGCCCCTGCAGGGAGCTGGGCTGTCACAGCAGTCCCACTGTGACTGGGTCCCTGCGTCCGGGTCCTGCCGAGGGCCTCGCAAGGAGAACCAGGTGCGGACACGGGCGCCGAGACGCTGTGGCTGCGCGTCGGACACCGAGGCGGCTGCTGAGGGACCGACGGGCGGGGCGTGCCCACAGCGTGGGGACGCTGGACAGAGGGACGGTTCACGCCCGGGAGAGACAACTGGAGACTTGATCACGTGGCTCAGAACAGCACAGATGTGCAACTGTGAACTGTGTATTTCTGGGCTGTTCCGTTTAAACGTTTTTGCCCCGTGGTTGAACCACGGGCACCTGCGACCGGGCACTGCTGCGTGCGCAGCTCCGAGGGCCACAGAGGGACGGGCGGGAGAGCGGGCGGATGGGGGGGGCGAGAGGGGGCTGGTGCCTGCGGGCGGATGCGGGGGACGCATTCTGGGGGCGCCTCCCCCGGCACTCCCTGACGCCGAGTTTCCACGCGGCGCAGTCGTCAGAGGGGTGCAGCCGGCGGACACCACCCGCGACACGGACACCCCGCGCCTGCCGCCGGCTGCACACAGCTGCCGTGGACACGCACTGCCCGCAGCTGCAGGGGACGCTGTGGTGAGGTCAGTCTAGGCACAAGGACTGTTAGTGCTCTGCGAGGAAAAGAGCCCTTTGTTGTTAAAAAAACAAAGCAAAACACAAAAAGCTCCAAACTTGTTTAAAGAAAACGGAGACGACTGACAGAAGCTTGAAGCTGTGTGATTTCTGAAGTCCTTGGAACGCCGTCGGACTCAGCTGTTCACACGCAGCCGCAGGGCTTACGGGTGGGTCGAGGGCACCCTTCCAACTGACTGGGAAGTGAAGCAGACGTCTCCCAGGACTAACTGGCAGCTCCAGACCGCTCTCCGGACACGAACTCGGCACTGAAAGAGCCCTCACCCGGGCTCCAGCTGCTGGCGGGGCGGTCTGCGCTCTCAGGGGAGCACCTCGCCCTCTGCGGGTTCCAGACGCTTCCAGCTCCCAGGCAGGAGGACGCTGGAGGGGCTCCCCTGTGCCAGGCAGGACCCGCGCTGCCCTCCCTCCCCGCGGGGCTGCTCCTGGGGGCGCCCGAGCACCCCCTACCCTGGGCCGACAGAGCCCCCGTCCTCTCCTGCGGGAACCGGCTGCGAGGTGGTGGCCTCAGGGACCACCCCGAGCCCCAGTCAGGAGACCCCGCCGGAGCCAGCGCGGCTCTGCATGGCGTCCCCCTCCCTGCGCGGTGGCCGGGAAGCTCGCTGCTGACACGAGGGCCGGGCAGGCCCGGAGAGGGCCCTGCACCACGCCCGAGCACGGGAGAACCGTGCTGGTTACATGTGCACACGTGACCCAAGCAGTCCCTGGCCACACGGCTGCCTCCCCTTCACCCACGCCGACGCCGGCCGCTGTGTGGGGAGACGTGGTGCAGGGGGCCAGGCTGTGGCAGGGTGTTTGCACGGCCCCTGGCCCGGGGAGAGGCGGGACTGGGGGGACTGGAAGGCGGGGGATGCACAGAGGGGGCGCTGCCGCCCCGTAGGTCCCTCCCACCCCCGCAGCCGGCTGGCCTGGGGCAGGCGAGTGGCGGCGGCCGGGGCGGCCCAGCCCCGTGGTGCACACTGGGCGGCAGGCAGAGCCCTCCCTCTCCAGCGTCCGTCTCGCCGCTGTGAGGTGTCAGCAGTGAAAGGGCCGCATCACCCCGTCTGCGTGACCCTCTGCTCCCCGTCTCAGTTCTTCCGGAACTCGGGCGGGGACAGGGGTCCGCTTCGCTGGGCCCCCTCAGAAAGCGCCAAAAGGAAGACCCGCTGTCATCTTAAGCGGGATCTGTATTCAACTCACCAGCAGCGACAGTGAGCACGAACAAGCCACAGGTGTGTGACGCGGAGCCCAGACTATGACACACAGCCACAGGAGTGGCGGGGACAGGGAGGGCGTGCTGGGCCCCGGGGGCGGACAGCTGGCCTCAGGGGGCTGTGTGGTGCCCACAGCGCACGGCCCGACCAGGCTCCGGGCCACTCAGCAGAGTGACCCCGCCTCCGCCGAAGCCCGCCCAGGGCAAGACCCGCCCTTCAGAAAAAACGCCAACTAGCATCACGCTGCTCGAGCACCGAGCACGCCCGACGGGTCTGGGAGACTCCCGGTGGGAGCCCGGTGTCACGCAGAAGCAGGGAGCTGCAACTGCAGCCTGGGGCACAGCCACGACACTGAGAGGCCCAGAGCCCAGAGCTCCGCACAGAGCCCAGACGCAGGGGCCGTGCTGACCCGGGCGGGGGAGGGCCCCCATCCTCCCGCTCCTCCTCTGCGGGGTCTGCACGTTTCTTAAGTGGACTTGGGTTAAAGGTCAGCAAACTCTCCTCAAACACACGAGCAGCAGGGAACCAACGCGGCACGCAACCAGACGGGCGAGGCTGCGGCCGCCAGCCCCGCAGTTCTGACACCTGAGGGGTGACACAAGGGGACCCCGGCTCCCCGAGCCGCCCGCAGCCCCAGGCCCCTGTGCGGCCCACCTTGGCGACCTCCAGCCGCTGACGGTCGGGGCGTGGATCATCAGCTCCCGGGCGCTGAAGCCGTCCTCGTGCCCGGACGAGCTGACCACGACGAATCCGATCTTGTGCGGCATCCCGGGCGCCGGCCGCTCCGACGGGCAGGAAGCACGCCTTCAGGGGACGGGGGCCTGGCAACGCGCCGACGTCGCTGCGCCAGACCGGCCAGTGCGAGCCTCGCTGAAACAGAGCGACCGGGAAACTCTGTTTTTTGTGAGGCACCTCTCGCGGGAGCCTCTAACTCTGCTTCCGGTGTCTTCAGAGTTACTTTAGCTTTTCCCAAATGCAGGTCGAAAAAGTTCAATCAGTGCTGTGGCTGAACTGTGTCCACCCCCGAGAACACGTTGAAGGCCTCCTGTGAGTGGGCTCTTATTTAGAAACAGGACGTTTGTAGATGCAACAAAAGCTGAAATGAGGTCCTGCTGGCGTAGGGCAGCCCTGCTCCCAAATGACTGGCGCCCTGATCAGAAGAGAGACATGGGCGTGCGTGCACGCGTGCACACACACACACACACACACACACACACACACACGAGGCCACGTGACAACGGTGAGGCCACCGGAGCGAGGCACCTGCCAGCCGCGGAGCTCCGACGACCGCTGGACAGCACCAGAGGCCGGAAGAGGCAGAAGGGCCCCCCCCCGCCGACCCTGCAGCCGTGCAGGGGTGTCCACCCTCCGGCGTCCCCGGGCCACCCTGGAAGGGGACTGGCCTTGGGCCCCACGGTAGATACAGTGTGACAGGTCATCACGAAGAAATCTCACACTGCTTTAAGTGAACTCACAACTCTGTGCTGGGCTGCGTGAGCACCACCACCCTGGGCTGCGTGAGCACCGCCACCCCGGGCTGCGTGTGCCCGCAGGCTACAGGTGGGCGCCCCGGCAGAGAGCACGGCCGCGCCCACACCTCGACTGTGAACGCCCAGCCGTCAGAATGCAGCGTTTTCAGTCCTCCAGTTTGGGAGCTTTGTTAGGTTGAAGACAAAATTTTTGAATAATGTAGAAATACAAAGATTTTTATACTGGTTAAGAAACTAATCCAACCAGTTATGTCCATAAGTCACACAAAAACAAGGAGAAAAGGGGCCTTTTTAACCAGCAGCCTCAGCACCGCCACGTGAGCATGCACGTCCGGGGGTCCGGGGCGCACTCTGCGTGCCAGCGGCTGGCCTTAGCTCTGGACTCACACACATACCTTCCTGACAGCTGACCCACGTTCAGTTGTCGCCCCAGCTTCACCGACCAGGGAGCTGAGGCACCGCCAGGCCCAGGCCCAGGGTCACCCAGCCAGGGAGCCCCACGCGCTGGCAGGGCTGTTCCCAGCTGGCCAGGCGGCCAGGCCCCATCAGCCTCTGCTCTGGCGCTCAGACTCACTCAAACGGGACCTTTGAAACCCACGCAGAGCGTGTGTCCACAATGCCGTGTTGCCTCAATGGAGGCAAAACGAAGTGCTGGCCTTCCGGAACGAGTGGGAGAGACGCCCGGGCACATCTGAGCAGGGTCCCGCGTTGGCCGCCCCTCCAGAGCCCTTCCACCTGGTACCCTAGGGTCTCCGTGTTCTGCGAGATGCTGGGCCCAGGGAAGGGTGCTGCTAGCAGGCTCCATGAATCCACCACCACGTTTGGGGAGAAACAGAGCTGTGCACAGTGCTCAGCGCTCAGCCCGGGGGACGCTGACTGCCCTAGTGCAGGACGAGGCCCACCCTGGCCAGGGCCAGCCTGCACATGTGTCCCCGAGTCCCTCACTACACGGGCTAGTCCCCCTCGCCGGGAGAACGCTGCCTCGGAGGGGTTCCTTCCCTGAAGTCGGCTTCTCCAAGCCAGTGGGCTGGGGCTGGGGCTGGGGCTCAGGGTGGGGGTGGGGGGCGGGAGCTGGCATCTACAAATTAAGCTGAAACATGTTAGCAACTCCTGACCATTTTGCTACAAGACCAGGGGAGACAACTTGTTCCCACTTTTCAAGAAAACAGAAAGGTTCAAAATTAAGTGATTTTTGGTCAGGTCATCTAAACAGTTTAGAGCGCCTCTGAGCACATCTGAGGCCGAGGAGGCTCAAAATAACCAAGGAACGGGAGGCGAATCGAACCTGTGCCGGGCAGAGCCACGCTCTTGGTGCATTTCGGCCGGCCGGCCGGCCAGCCCCGCCGTTCTGGGTCACCATCGGCCCTGCGTCCCGCAAGGCGAGGTCGGGACACAGGGAACCGGGCGCAGGCGCCCCCGGGGCCGATGTGGGTGGGCCGTGACGCAGCGCGCGGCAGCGCCGCCCCGGGCCCCGCGCCCCGGGTCAGCGGCTGGACACGCCCGGGCAGCGCCCGCACCCGCTCACCCCGCCGCACGCCGGCCCCGCGGCCCGAGTCCGGGCCCAGCCCCGCGAGCCCGGGCTAGAAGCCCGCTCGGCCTCCGTGCTCCCGGCCCCGCGCCCGCGCCCCCGGCCAGTCCGGGTACCTGTCAGGACGGAAGGCCGCCGGACCTCGGCTCCCGCACGACCCCCAGAGCCTTCCGCCCACCCCCGGCAGCGCCGCGACCTCGGCGGAGCTCAGGTAGCGCCGACTTCGCAGCCCCGGGCGCGCCAGCCCCCGCGAGCCGCAGCGTCGGTGGAGGGGGAAGAGCAGTCCCTCCAGCCTACGACCAGCGCCCGGGCCGCGGCCGCCGCTCTCATGACAACCAGAGCGGGCCCAGCCCCGCCTCCGCGCCTGCGCGACCCCGCCCCGCCGCACCGCGGCTGCGCCCGAGACGGGCCTCCGGCTCCGCTTCCCCGGGACTTCTGGGTAACGGAGTTTCCAGGGAACCGCGCACGCGCACAAGGCAGGCTGCGCCTCTCCTTTCCCCGGCCTTCTGGGTAGTGTAGTTCCGGGGCGGTGCGCGGCCGCCTTCCCTTCCGCAGAGTGTACCTGGGGCTGACCCCGCGGCCCGCGTGAGAACGCTCCTAGCAGCGGGCCCAGTAGGTGCTTCCCGCGGGGCCGGAGGCCCTGAGGATGATGTCTGTCTTCCGGAAGCCCAAGACGTTCAAGTTGCGAGCCCTGCACAGCCAGCAGAAGTTTGGGGTAGCGGGGAAGAGCTGCCAGGAGGTGCTGCGGAAGGGGTGTCTCCACTTCCAGGTGCGGCGGGGGCTGGGAATCGGGGGCCCGGTGCCTCCCCTTGCAGGTCCCGGGAAGGGACCAGGGCAGCGGCGGGAGCTTGTCGGGAGACTCTGGGTGGGATGCAGCAGTCTGACCCGCCATCTGTCACCAGCAGCACTGGCGGGGCCTCGTGTCCCCAAGTCCTGACAGGTGCCCCGTGAGGCGGGAAACCTGAGCAGCGGCCCGCCCCGGCCCCACTGGGGTCCTTCCATGGGCTGTCGTGGGGTCCACGACAACACCCGTGAATCGAGTGCGAGCATTCCACTTCAGGAACAGGGTGCGGGAGGCAGAGACTCAGAGGGCGCGCGGGGCCCTGCAGAGCGGGTGGAATGTGGGTCCTCGGACTCGGGGCGCCTGGGGCTGGCGGAGGTGGAAGCCTCTGCGGGGTGCTCAGGGGAACTTGGGGAGAGGAAAGGGCTGCGTTCCAGGGTGTGTGTGTGTGTGTGTGTGTGTGTGTGTGTGTGTGTAGATGGCCGGGAGTGGAGGGGGCGGCGCTCCCGGGAATCACCATTCGTCGCCCTTAGGCCCCGGAGACCCCTCGAGTCAGGAACTTCTTCCTCTGGTTCCTGAGCAGGGCGCAGGGCGCAGATCACAGGGGCTTGAGGTGGAAGGGACTTGAGGACACCTCCCATCTTCTGACGGTGAGGGTCACCACCCCGCTGGCTTGAGATTTGGGGATCCTGTTTCCCGTGTGCACACTGGCTAATTCACTGGGAGTCGGTGCACAGCCACTTGGCGACCCTGGGACTCAGTTTCCCCGTGTGTAGAAGAAGGGGCTGGGCTCGGAGGCCTCTCCACGCCGGGCAGCCCGAGTGTTGTAGCTCCTCCACCCGTTATTCTGACTCTTACGGAGTTAATTTCCGTGGCTGGGCCTAGACGCTCTGGGGTGTGCACATGGGTGAGCAGGGCCAGACCCCGAGTCGCCACAGAAATTCATAAACCTGACCGGTGGGCAGCAACGGCCAGCCGAAGCTCCGCAAGTGAACACTGCCGTGTGCCGGTCACCTTCCGCCAGATGTTGTCCCAGAATAACCAGTCCCCCGGAAACAAGGAGCACAGCGAGCCGGCGGGTCCTGACGCCTGCCAGGCACCGCGCCCTCATCCGTGCGGCCGCGCTGACCAGCCCAGTGGCAACCATCACCTGTCATTTTGGGAAACAGGCTCGGATTCTGAGTGCCCTGGAGGAGCGGCTGGGAAGGGTCCGTGTCCTGCATCCCACGAAGCAGTGACGCTGCGTGTGCCTGTGTGTGACTTCCTGTTCTAGAACGACCGACCGAGGGTGCCCTGGTTCAGACGCACGTGCGTGTCTCGGGCGTGCTCCCCACTGTGTGCACCCCACGGGCGTGCAGACGGCACGCCGAGCATGATTCTTTAAAACGTGCTTCTCTGTGCGGCCCTCACGCTGCTTCTCTGTGGCGGGCCCACCCGGGGCCCAGGAAGTGAGCACCCCACCCCCTCCCCCTTCTCCCCAGCTGCCCGCGCCCGGCTCCCGCCTCTGCCTCTACGAAGATGGCACGGAGGTGACAGAAGGTTACTTCTGGAGCATCCCCGACAACTCGGAGCTCGTGCTGCTCACCAAGGGCCAGACCTGGGAGGGCTGTAAGTGGCGGGGCCCTGCGGGTGCTGGGGTGCAGGGTCTGGTAGACATTCCTCCAGGCAGGATACTCCCACGGTGAACACGCCCAGGAAAAGAGGCTCGTGATAGCATTAGCGTTCAGGGACGTGCAGGTCACACCCACGGTCAGGCTGCACCCCCCGCCCCAGGAGGAGGAGTGCCGGCGAGGACGTGGGGAAAGCGGCACCCTCGTCCACTGCTGGTGGGCGGAGTCCCGTGGTTCCTGGGCTGCGGGCAGGATCGCCAGGGCCCCCGGCAGTGTGCTCCCAGGTGTGCACCCAAGGGACGGGAAATCACAGGTGTGCACAGAGGTTGGACACGGGTGTGCGCTGCAGCCTCGTTCACGTGGCCTGAAGGTGGAGAGGAGCCCGGGCTCTCGGCGGACAAACAGCCTGTTCCAACAATGGAATGCTGTTCCGCCAGGAAGAGGAGGGAGGCCGGACTCACACTAGGACACGGACGTCCCTCGAAAATTTCACGTGGAGTGACAAGGCATTCACGAAGGGCCACGTGGAATGAATACAATTCCACCCACGTGGGGTGTGCGGAGGAGGGACGTTTGCAGAGACAGAAAAGCGATCAGCGGTGGTTTAGGGCTGGGGCTGCGGGGGAGGGCGGGTGACAGCTAAAGGGGCGGGACTTCCTCTCCCGGTGCGGAAACAGAACGTGCGGATTGGGAGCACACAGCTCTGCGAAGGGCTGGAGCCCAGGGAGTTGCGTGCTGTACGTGCTGTGCGTGCTGTACGTGCAGTACGTGCAGGAACTCGTAAGGAAAGGAGATTCAGTCTCAGCTCAGCTGTTAGAGAGGAGACGCAAAGGCCCCACCACGCCGTTTTGGGGTGGCCCCCCGGGCGGCACCCCGCTCTGTACCGGGGTCTGCAGCTCCTCTGCTGCGCCTGTGCGGGCTGTCATTTCGGCCACGCGCACTGGTGCGGCGGGGTGGCTCGCGGCGTCTTACTCCGCGTTTCCCCAAGGGCTCCCGGTGTCGACCCTCTTTAATTGTGGCCGCCTGCCATCCGAGCACAGGCCCCGCCGCCCGGCACCGCGCGGGCTGAGAGCACGTGGCGGCAGACACTCGCACAGCCCAGGCGGCGAGCCCACTGCCCGCCGCGGCCGTGTGGCCGCCACGTCCTCTGCGTGCTTGTCACTGACCGTGTCCTCTTTGGTGGGACGTCTCTGTGTCCTCTGTCCATCTCCTAATTGTTTTTTTATGTTTTAATGTTGAGTTTTGAGAGTTTTGTTGTTCTAAGACACTCTGGATGTGCGTCTTCCGCCAGGCAGCGTGTTTTTCACTCCCTTGGAAGAGGAAGGGTCCTTCCTGGCGCCACAATCTTTGTTCTGACGAAGGCCAATTCACCCTCTTTTTTTTTTTTTTTATTCTACTTTTGGTGTTAAGGCTGAGATGTTCCCCCCGCTGTAGGTGCCAAAGGCTTTCGCCTTCTGGTTTTTCCGCATGGGCTGCTAGGACCACGTGACTCCCTCCCTTCTCCTGCTAAGGGTAGACTGCACAGGTTGCTTTGTGGCTCCGAGCAGCCCCGCGTCCCGCGGCGGCCCCGCTGGGCTGAGGCTCTGTGCTGGGGGCATGCGGGGTTCTGTTTGTGGGATGCTGCCAGGGCTGAGCAGACTCTGGCTCCGCCTGACCCTGAGCGCCTGCTGGGTGGCGGCTCGCTGCTGCTAGCACTGCGGGCACATGTGGCAAGACCCTGGGAGGCGGCAGGCGGTGACTCAGCGATCTGGGGAGTGAGGCCCCCTGGGAGTCCAAAGACGAGAGGGTTTCCTTTGGCAAAGAGAGGGCGGCAGGAGGGTGGCTTTCATTTTCCAGGGTGCTCCTGGCCCCTTCCCCCTTGGTCCTAGCCCCACCCCAGCCATGGGCAGCTGGCTCCTGGCCCTGAGGACAGGAACCTGGGACGCACTGAGGTCGGCAGTCTCCCAGCTGAGCGGGGTGGCCGTGGGGAGCCCTTTCTCACGCAGGCTGTCGGCACTGTGTCTCCCCACGGCGGTGGCCCGAGGACCAATGGCTCTTCTGTGTGTCCCCCCTTCTGGTGGCAGATGTGAGTGACATCGGTCGCTTCCTCAGCGTGTTCCACAGGCCGCACGTGGGGGTCATCCAGGCCGCCCGGCAGCTGCTGTCGGACGAACAGGCCCCGCTGCGGCAGAAGCTGCTGGCCGACCTCCTGCACACCATCAGCGAGAACGCCGCGGCCGAGACGCGGGCCGAGGACCCGCCCTGGTTCGAAGGTGCCCCTGTGGTCAGGGCCTGGCCGGCGCTGGGGGCGGGAAGATACCTGGGGGAGGCCGGACTCTGTTTCAGCTCCCAAAGCAAGGGGCCCCCAGATGGGGGGCTCGCCTGTGGCCTGCTCGTGGGGGGCGGATTCCAGGCAACCCAGGACCGTGGGGAAGGACACCGACACACAGTTCTCCATCCCGATCATTGTCACGGGCACGGCTCAGGGGCCTCAGGTGCATTCACGCTGTCCTGCAGGTGTCACCGCCATCCTCTCCGGAACTTTCCCTCTTCTCGCACTGCACCTGTGTCCCTACTGAACTGTGACCCCCGCACCTCCCCCAGCCCCCGGCACCACCCTTTACTCTCTGTCCCTGTGGCTCTGACTCCCCGAGGGACCTCCTAGAAGTGGATTCGTTCCTTGTCTTTTTGTGACTGGCTGACTTCATGGAGCTTAGTGTCTCCCAGGCTGTCCGTGCAGCCGCAGAAGTCAAGTTCCCTCCCTTTTCCAAGCAGAGCTGTCCTCCATGGTGTGGCTGGGCCACGCCTGCTTTTCCGTTCGCCCGCCGGTGGACACCTGGGTGGCTTCCGCCTGCAGCCCGGCCCATTCAGTCAGTTGGAGGCCGCCTGGGAGAATGTATCCACCTTGAAAAGGCGGCGCTGGCGGGAGCCCCTGGGAGGAGCCTGAGACTCCCCTGGTGGACCAAAGACCCCACCTGAGGCAGCGAGCAGGGGCTGTGTGCACGGCCCCGCAGAACGCTTCTCAGACACAGTTCCCACCCGCCCTCGCCCCGCCGTGAGGACGGCCGGGGAGTGCAGGGTCCGCCTCGGCTCCCCCTGCAGGTCTGGAGTCCCGGTTCAGGAGCAAGTGCAGCTACCTGAGGTTCAGCTGCGAGAGCAGGATCCGGAGCTACCTGAGGGAGGTAGGCCCCCCCTCACCCCCCACCCCCAAGGCGGTGTGCCGGGTGGGTCGGCTGCGGGGCTGCTTCGGTGGCACTGCAGACGGGGCTTCCCGACCGTCGTGCGGGGCGCCACGCTCCGGCCCTCAGCCAGGTCCTTGGCTTCCTCCAGGTGAGCGCGCACACGCCTGCGGTGGGCGCGGGGGCTCGGGAGGAGTTCGAGCAGGTGGTGGACGCCATGGGCCAGAAGCTCCGGGCCGAGAAGTACAACGGCTGCTACTTCGACAGGGGCGCCGAGGCCGGCAGCCGGCTCTGCACGCCCGAAGGCTGGTTCTCCTGCCAGGTGGGCTGCGTGCCCTGGGCCCTGGGGCCCCGGCGCCTGCGGAGCTGCCTGCCAGGGCAGGGTGGGGTGCAGTGGGGTGCGGTGGGGTGCGGGTCAGCTCCTGTCCCCTGGTAGTCTGCCTGGGTCCGAGAACCTGCGTTCCTGACATGTTCCCAGGTGCACCCCCGCTGCTCGGGGACCTCACCGCTGCTGGGGGTGGGGAGGACACAGGTGCCTGAGCAGAGGCTGTGCCTTGGTGTCGGGGGAGGGTGGCATTCCTTCGGGTGGGCTGCCGAGAGAAGGGGTGCTCCGGAGCCTCTGGAGAGCACGCGTGGTGCTCCCCCGGGTGAGCCCTGTGGGTGACAGAGAGCTCGGGGATTTCAGGCTTGTGGCCGCTGCGGCATCGGGGGCGTGGTTAGGCCTGACTCCTGGCGGGCGGCCCTGGCTGCAGGCAGCGATCCGAGCTGCACGGGTGGAGGCCGCGGGCTTCCCCAGGACGTGAGTGAACCACGGGAGCGCCACGTCGCCCAGGTGCCACCTTGGGCCTCGGAGCTGTGACTTTCAGGAGGTGGGTGGAGGGTCCTTCCTGCCACCTTCCGGCCGTCACCTCAGAGACCTGTCAGGTGCAGTCCAGCCTCTGGTGCCGATGTCGCCCGGGGCTTTGGCCGGCATAGCCCTGCCGAGCTGGGCGCGTGGCGGAGGTGACCCGGGACTGGCAGGGAAGAGGCCTGCTGTGCGGCAGTCACCTTGTCCTCTCTCGGCGCAGGGTCCTTTCGACGCGGCCAGCTGTGCGTCCAGACACTCCATCAACCCCTACGGTAACAGGGAGAGCCGGGTCCTCTTCAGCACCTGGAACCTGGACCACGTGTGAGTGCCCAGCGCCGGCCGGCAGGGCCTTCAGGCCCGAACGGTGCCTGCGGGGGTGGGGGTGGGGGTGGGCTGCCCTGCCCGGAAGCCCGGGCCTCCCACGCGGACCTCGCGGGGTCTGGGCCCCCAGGGTGGCCAGTGGCGGTGTGGAAGGGGCCGCCGGGCGCACACGGCGCTCCTGCTGCTCCTGTGTGGCTGCGTGTCGTCTCCCGTGGGGCCTCGTCCCTGCGACCTCACGTGTGTCCCTCTCGCCTGCTCCCCTCTGTGCGTGGGGTCAGGGGTCAGCGTGCCTGCTCTCAGGGCAGCCGCCCCGGCGCCGTCCGGACGGGGCGTCCTGCCTCCCCCGGACGAGCCGAAGTCTCGCTTTCATACGTCTGCTGGTGCGTTCTAACGCGGGCAGACGCGGACCGCCTGCCCCTTCACGGAGACGCGGTCCTCGTCCTCGGGGCGGGGGAGGCTCCCATCCTCGGCCGCTGACGTCTCCAGGTGCCCGACAGCGGTGGCTGACTTCTCGGATCAGACGCTTTAGAAGTGCCCCCCTCCCCCGGGTCCCCAGGGACCCCCGTGCTGTCGTTGGGAGTGAGGGTGGTCTGTGGGCTGCTTGGGTGCCTGCGTCCTGCACTTGTCCTCGGCAGGAGCTGGGCTTTCTGGCCCCGAGCCGCATGCCTGGCTTGTGCGCCGAAGCGTCCCCGCAGGGCGGCTCTGCGTCTCCTTCCGCCGGACGCCGGGCTTTCACGGCCCCTGAAACGGCGGCGCTCGGCCGAGTCTGCGCGGGGACAGTGCCCGAGCGCGCCCCGCGACAGCACCCTGCGTCCTCTGCTGTCCTCGCCCCCCAGCTCCCGGGTGGCTGCCCAGCGTGGTTTCTTTAGAAATCTCGTTTTCCTCGTTTTTCCTACGAGTGGCCAGTTGCCGTTTTACGTTTCCGCTCCCGCCGCGTCGGAGCTGCGTTTTAGCCGCACCTGCGGGTCGCCGCGCCGGCGCTGACCGTCTCCGCCCCCCTCCGCAGCATAGAGAAGAAGCGCACCGTCATCCCCGCGCTGGCGGCGGCGATCGAGGGCCAGGACGGCAGGCAGCTGGACTGGGAGTACTTCTACGGCCTGCTCTTCACCTCCGCCAACCTGAAGCTGGTGCACGTGGCCTGCCACAAGAAGACCACCCACGGGCTCAGCTGTGACCCGCGCAGGGTCTACAGGCCGCGCGCGGAGCCCAGGAAGAAGCGGGCCGCCCGCAAGGGCCCCTGACCCGGCCACGCGCCCGCCCTCCACATCACCCCGGGCCCGGCGACGGGTTGGGGGGCGGGGAGGGTTTTAACAGGTGCTATTTTTTTTTTTTTTTTTTGGCCACAGCAATAGCTTCTGAGAAGTTTCTACAAAACCCTCCTACCAATTTCAGATTCCAGGGCGTGCCTGATTCTGGTCTCTGCACCCCGAGGGCCCGCAGCCGAGGGCGAGTTTGGTGCCCTGACGGGACTCCAGGGGCGCTGGTGTCTGGTCGGCGGGGACCAGGGATCCGTTCTCTTCGCCCTGCCTGCTCTGAACGCTTGTGTGGCACGGCCCCCGTGGCTGCACTGAGGGCCGGCGCTCTCCCGGCAGCCACGCGGAGTCTCCCTGCCCGGCCGGGTGGGGAGCTCCACCCCAGACCCTTCCCCCTTCCGGGGAGAGGCGGTCCCCCTCCGTGGAGAACACGCAGGCGTCCACTCTGTGCTGTTTGTGACGGCAGAAAGGGGGCCCTCGGACGCCTGTGGGCGGGGTCGGCCGCCGTGGCATCACATCCAGCCCCCCCGAAATCAAAGGCACAAAGGTCGGGCAGCGCTGACCTCACGAGTCACCTAACGCGTGCGCGGGGTGCGGAGCTGCGCGGCGGTTCTCCGTGTCTGTGAACGGAAATGGGGGGCTGCCCGTCCAACGCACAGGCCGGTGGCGCGCTCCGCAGGGCGCGACCTGCCGCTCACGAAAGGCCTCAGCGTGTCATACACGTGTTGGCATGTGCTGTCACACACGTGTTGGTGTCTGCAGACAGCATGTCCTTGAACAGCAGCCATCCCGGGGACAGGGTGGCCACGCTGGCTGTCAAAGGACTAAGTCTGTAAACCGAGCGTTTCGTCACACGCTCGGCCCTCCGTGCCCGCGGGTTTTGCGCCGCGGGTTGGCGTCCTCGGTGCGGGGTCGGGGAGCTCCGTGCGCCCGTTCCTCGCCGTTTGTATCAGGAGTGGGTCTGGGCGTCGGGGATGGTCCTGGCAGGAGCCCTCTGCAGGGACCAACGGACAGCTACACTTGAAATTTTTGAAATGAGCATTTATTTTGTAACTTTTACAAATTTATTTTTTACATTTTGTAACATCTGAACTTTCACATTTACTGTAGAGTCAGGATGCCAATAAAGATTTTCGGTAAACAAATGTGTTGGAGTAGTTTGCACTCATGGAAAATGGTGGACATGGGATGAAATAAGGGGTCAGAGTGGACTTTTTTAAAAGCTGACCCTTCAGTGGACGGAGCACCGGCCTGCGAACAGAAAGGTGGCCGGTTCGATCCCCAGTCAGGGCACATGCGTGGGTTGCAGGCCCAGTCCCCAGTAGGGGGGCCATGAGAGGCACCCACAGATTGACGTTTCTCTCACATATCGATGTTTCTCTCTCCTCCCTCCCTTCCCCCTTTCTAAAAGTAAAATCTTAAAAGAAAACGCTGACTCAAATTCTTCCATTGTCTTCGTAGACACATGGGACCACCTGGGACCGAGCCACTGGTGTGGAACTCAAGGAAGTCAGCCCACGCATGGATGGGGACACCCCCCCACCCCCCAGGCCCTGTCCACCAGGGCCGGCGCTCCGTGGCTGGGCTGGGTGCTGGCAGGGCCATGCTGGCCTGAGGGCAGCCCCCAGCCCGTCTCAGTCTCACACTTTCTGGGCAGCGGGTGTTCGCAGGGGAGTCAACGTGGACGGGCCTTCTCTGCCACGGCGTCGGAGCAACCCTGCCGCCCACCTCGCAGCTGGACACACAGAGCGCAGCTGGCCCTGCTGGGCTCCGAGCACGCCTGCACACCACTGTGCAAAGACCAACCGTAGCGTCTCTGTCCACTGGCAAGAACGCATCACGTCACGTGGTGCTCCTTGATGCTGGGGGTGGAGGTGCAGTCTGCAGGCGGTGGAGCAGCGGGGGCACTGTGCCTGGTGACAAGGGACACTGTGGAGCACAGCTGGGCCCTCGCCACAGGGCCCTCGCCACCCGGCTGGCCCCTGCAGAGACACCTGTCACCGGTTTATTGCCAAAGGTTAGACTCAGCCCCGAGGAAGAGACGCACAGGGCCAGGTGGGCGGGAGGGGCGCGGAGCCCGGCCCATCCACACTCACTGTGCTCTCCCAGACCCGGGAGGAGTGGTCCTGTCCCATGGGGTCTCCCTCGGCTGTGTCACCGAGTCACCGTGCTGGCCACTGACTCGGTCTCCAGCCCCTTCCCCTCCCTGGAGGTCCCAGGGTGGGTCTGAGTGTTCCCGCCCCCAGGGCCGGTTCTCCCAGCCCCCCACCCTTGGGGTCCAGTCACCTCGTCAACAGGACAACGCTCAGCTCTCAGGACACTCCAGGGGTTTGCAGAGCTGTGAGCAGGAAACCGGTGGAGATCCTATAAACCACCAGGGGGTGCCCGCCCCCACCTCAGAGTGGAGGGGGACCAAGGAGGAGGACACCCCTCATCCAGGCCTGGCCGCAGCCTGCTGGTGGGGTGCAGAGGCCGACCCTGCCTTCCCAGGATGAGGCAGGGCGGGGTTTGCTCTTTCCACTGAGCTCCCGCCTTATGTATTTATGTGTTTAAATCTCTTTTTTGTGGATTTCAGAGGAAGGGGGAGAGAGAGAAACTTCAAGTTGTTCCGTTAGGCAGGATGGATGGCGAACCGAGACAGGCAGCAGGAGACGGAGACGGCGCAGGGAGAGCTCCGAGGCAGCGCTGCTGCTGCTGCTGCTCCCCGGAGTCGCGCGTCCTGGTTGCCAGGAAACGCCTTGCAACACTGACGCAGGGTGGATGGCGAACTGAGACAGGCAGCAGGAGGGAGACGTGCCGCACCCAGTGACTCTGCAGCGCCCGGCCTGGCCGGATCCCAGCGGCGGGGGCTCCGACATCACAAAATCCCCATGGTAACGGGAGGGGGGTCAGCCCTCGAAGGTCCCCGTCTCGGCCCGCCGCGCACGCTCTGGGAAGGAAAGCCTCAGAAACCGGGCTTTCATCCTGAGGCCCGAAAGGCTGGAAAGGCCCACGGAGCGCAGAGGAAGGAGCCCATTAACACCTCTGGGTGTTCACAGGTCCCCCCCCTCCTGCAGCCCCCAGAGCCGGCACCACCGTTACCCGTCCATCAGTACGTAGCTGCTCCACCCCCACCCTGCCGCCCGTATCGGCGCTCGGAACAGAGGACGCTGGGCTTGAGGCTCTCGGCCTGTTTCCCACCCGGGCTCTGGCTGCCCTTATCCTGCTCTGTCCTGACCCTGTGCCTCCCACCCCCACCCGGACTGGGCCCACTCTCGTCTGCGAGAACGGATCACAGATGTCCCTCGCGTGCGCACTCACAGACACACTGCTCTGTGAGTCTTCACGGCACGGGCAAGAAGAGCGAGTCTCCGGGCGTCCATCCCGGAGTGGCCCCCCCGACCCCTGCACGCCCCGGTTGGTTCCCGTGCGCGCCCGCCCTCTCCAGGGACCGAACCCGCAGCCTCGGCGTGGTCTCTGACCAGCTGAGCCTCCGGGCCGGGGCGCTCCCAAACATTCTAGAAAGGAACACAGTTTCAGGGACATAAGGCTCCTTAAAATATTTTCAAAATATACTTTATTTTCCCCATATGCTTCTTGCAAAACTTCCAAGATAAACGTCAGCTTCATATACACAAAGAAAGGCGCGTTCTTTAAGAACTGTCACTGAGTCGATCACGAGAACGATCGAATTCCCACCAAGGAAACCGGGCTCGAGTGTCGTCAAAACTAAAGAGCTTAAGCGAAGAGCAGATTCTCTACGGGGTTGTCCCGGCCAGCCAGCCCCGGCCGCCCCGCACCCTCCCCCGCCCCGCACCCTCCCCCGGGACCGGGACCCTGCGGAGGGAGGAGGGAAGACGGGCCGGTGCAGACCAGTTTCCGCTGCCGGGGGAGCCGCCCCCGGAAGCGTGACTCGGGACACTCCCTCTCGGGGACACGTTTGACACGTCCGTAATCTGCTCCACGGCCGATGTTAACTGCGCCGCACAGGCGCGAGGTCGGCGCGCATGCTCCGTTCCCTACATCTCCGCGTCCTCGTCCTCGTCCTCGTCCTCCTTGGCTCTGAAATGCATTTTCCTGAACTCGCGTCTGCTCACCGAAGGGCAAGATGAAGTCGCCGGTGGCAGGTCCTGGGGGCAGAGAAGGAGCGCCGCCAGTCACAGACTGCTTCTCCCCGCGCTGCGTCCGCGCCGGCCCAGGCCCCGCCCAGGCCCCGCCCCGCCTGCGTGAGGTGGGGGCTGGGTCTGAGTCACAGCTCAGCCCGCGGGGGGACGGGGGAAAGGAATGAGCCCAGCAGGCGTCGGCGATGCTCACAAACACAGACGGGACCTCGGGCCCCCGCAGGGAGGTCCGGAGACACCCACCCCCACGGAGGCCCAGAGCGGGAGCGGGACGGGCGGGCGCGTCCCAGTGAGCCGCAGTGTCCTCGGCGCCTCCCGGTTACAGCGAGGACTGGGCCTCGGATCCCGGCCGGGGCGGTGTGCGCACGCGCAGGCGCTGGGCGCGCATGCGCACGTACCTGCATCAGCTCCACGTTGCCGAAGAACCTGCTCACCGGCATCGGCTGGTTGCTGTCGTCGTCCAGGAAGACGCTGCCGTCCAGGTGCAGCGGCGGCGTCCGGGCCGGCTCGGTCCCCTGCGCGGCGGACCCGCCCCCCGCAGGGGGGCTGCTGTTCAGCCCGGGGCCTGGAAGGGCGGCGGGCAGGCTGTCTTCTGTCCCCGCTGGGCCAGTATCACGCACGACCCGGCCGTGCCCGAAGGGCAGGCCCGTGGTCTCCCGGGCGGTGCAGACGCCGGCTTCCTCCCCCGGGGCCTCGGGGCCGCTGTCGGCCAGCTCCAGGGGCTCGTCCTTGCGAGGGGCCTCCGGGGACGCGCGGGGCAGGGTGGTGACCTCGCTCTTGGGGACCAGTTTCTGTAGTTCTGATTTCACAAGATGCCCTCGGTCACACTTGAACTTCTTGGAAGTCCGCCTGTCCGCGGCTTTGTGTGACGCAGAAGTCTGTCGGGGAAGAACAGCGTCAGGGAGGAGACGACCCGTCCGGGGCTGCAGAGCGTGGTTCCTCCCGCTGGGAGCCGTGGACACGCTGACGCCCGGCCTCCGCGGTGGCGGGGTCAGGGCCGGGTCGCTGCCTGCCGCCCAGGGTTCCGCTGGGGAAGAGCCCAGACCGCCCCCCCCCCCCCCCACAGCGGCCGCTGTCTCTAGGCTGTGGACTTCCGGAGCTAAGTCAGCAGCAGGCAGGGACAGACCACGAACGGGCCACGGAAGCACCCAGGGTCCCTTCTTTCTCCAGAGCGGGAGCTGCGTGCGGGCAGGGACGGGGTGGTGGCTGCCGACGACCACCGGCTTTTCCAGGCCACGATCCAGGGCAGAGACTCGTGGCTGCTGGAGTCACACCATGTCCCAGCCTCGCCGAGGCTGCCCAACCTGACGCAACTCCGGGACGAGGACTGCTCGGCAGCCACAGACACGCGGGGCCCGCTGTGGCCTGCCCCAAGTCTCCCCCCGCCCTCGGGATGGACGGGACGGCCCCATGTCCCCGTCACTCACAGGGTGGCACCGAGGGAGACACAGCCTGAGACGCTCGCCCCCGAGCAGGCAGGCCCTCCAGAGGCAGAGCCCGATCCGCAGGCACAGACGCCCCCCACCCCCCACCTCCGGGGCCACGACAGCAGCTGCAGGGTGAACCCCGTGCCCACAGCCTGGCGTCTTCGCGCGCGAGGCTCACCTGACATACCGTCCTGGTGGGCGGGGCGATCCCCGCTTCCTGGGCGGAGGCCAACCTGGCCGCGCAGCTCCGGGCTCTCAGGCGCGCCGAGGACCGCACTCCCCCTGCGAGCTGGAGCAGAGGCACGGCCGTCAGACGCTGCCCCCCCAGAACGTGGGTGGGTGCGGAGGCGGGGCTCCCTACCTAGGGGATACGCAGAGACGGCCCCTCCCGCCCCCCTCTATCATCAGGGCAGGACAACTGCAGCCTAAGTGTGTGAGTTCAAACACAACTCGGGGTTTAAGAGGCCAGATCGACGCCTCCCGCTGTCCTGGAATGCGCATTCCCAGGGGCCCCGTTTACAAGGTGATGATGGTTCCGTATGGCCTCCCTCTGGAGGGTCTCACACCAGTCGCCGTTCCAGATAAAACGTAACAGGAACAAACAAGCCACCCTCCCCCGCCCTGTGGTCCCCTCCCTGAAGTTACAGTTAGAGTCCGCCCTGATTCCCTCAGTTTAAAGTGACCGGTGTCCGTCTGATAAACCTTCACGGTGAGAACCGGGACCACCTCCACTCTGAACGCAGTGAACGCAGAGGACAGTCTTCCAACAGCGAGGGAGGAGTTCATTAAAACGACAACACTTAAATGACTTTATCTGGGAGTAACGTTAGGGTTTTGGTGCAGGGAGCTCCGGCAGAGGCGTCGGCGCTCGGCTCTCCCGGTGTTGGAGAGCCGGGCTATCCAAAACGGCCCGTTTCAACCGCGGGTTGTGAAGCCTGCGGGGAAACCCCGGAGCGGATCCACATGCGGGAAAAGAGCACAGCCCTGCCCGTGCGGGTGACCGGGCCGTGGACCGATCAGAAAGTGTTTAAAGTGGCCGTTTTAAACACGTGAAAAAGAGATAACAGAAAATGATGAAAAAAGTAAGATCTGATGGTAATGTTGCGTCTAATAGCAAATATCAACGAAAATACAGTTGTTATGAAAACCACACGTAAGTTCCAGGCTGGAAAAACCGGGCCAGAGTGAAACACTCAGCAGAGGGGCCCCACGGCAGGTGCGGCCTGAAGACGGACGGACAGCCGTGCACGCCACAGACAGAAGAAGGACCGAAGCAAACGGAGCGTTTCAGAGGAACGCCGGCCACCACTAAGTGAACCAACACACGTGCAGTGGGGGTCCCGGGAAGGAAGGACAGTGGGAGCACAAAGACAGTCAGAGAGACCACGGGAGGGACCCCCAAGCTGACGGAGGAACCCCACCTGCACACCCAGGACGCCGGGAGACCTGAACTCCAGGCGGACCGAAGGTCACGACCCCCATGGACACGTCACTGTGACAGCGCTGAGTCCAAGACGAGGAGAAAACAAAGCGGAAGGAGGAAGACGACCCCTGACTCACAAGGGAAGCTGGTGAACAGGCCGCTGGCCTGGCAGCAGACACGGTGGAGGCGAGGCCGCAGGGTGCATTCTAATATACGCCAAGTTCTCAACGAACAAACAAACAAGCAAACAAAACAACCCAACAAAACCCCAAAACAAAACCGCCGACCAAGAGTCCTGCGACCTAGCAGGGCTACCCTTCAAAAACGAAGGCAAAACAGACCCTTCTGGATACACAGGAGCCGGGAGAACGTGGGTGGGCCCGCTGAACCGAGGGGCAGAAACAGAGGCAGAAATACGAAAGACAGTTCCCCGGGCTGAAACCATGTGACCTCAGGTGGCAATTCAAACCCGAAGATAAAAACAAGCCAGCACCAGGAAGTGCAACTGTGTCCTTCCAGAAGACAGTTTAAACGGAGAGTGGCTGATCTGAGAAGCAGTGACGTGCGATAACACAGACACAATACGACGCACAGGAGAACGTGCCCCAACTGCAGCACCGAGGCGGTGCGCCAGGAGGCGCTGTGGGGCTAAGATCAGGCTGCAGGTGGTAACGCGGCCACAACAGTGTATTTATTTCTGGGTTTGTGGCAAGTGTCATACTTGTGACAACACCCCAGCGAGCAGGCGACAAAACTAGAGCAACAGAGGAGCGACACTTCTGTTTCTCTGGAGTTACGCGGGTGCGAATCTGAAGCTGATTCTGCAGCTTTGACGGACACCTTCATTCGCTAAACCTACAGCGACCACCGGGAGAGGAATTTTTTAACCCGGTGGAAAGCATCACCCAGTGGAACTGGTACATCAGCACACATTCACTGCAGCCCATTTACACGCGGGCCGCAACAAAACGGAGTACGGCGAACACAGCAGGAAAACAGCACGCGTGCCTCCAACTACGCCCAGAGACCTGAACGCGGGTGGGCCGGCGGAACCGAGAGGCGGAGACGTTGACGGGAAGAGGCCGCCGCACGCAAGGCCCAGCTACGTGCGGTCTACGGGGGCGCTTCACGGTCCCAGCCAGGCACGGCCGCGGGAGGCGGGACCCGCTCCGTGGGAGCGCCCCGGCTGAGGCCAGCCCACCGAGCGCCGGTGCAGCCCCGCCCCCAGACGGGCCCCCAGCCAGGCCCCCAGCCAGGCCCAGGCCCGCAGGGTAGACGGGGTCCCCGCCCCTTGCCTCCCGTCACACTGCGCGCCGGCTACCCAGTGACAGAAGCTGGTGCTCCTCCAACCGCGCCCCCCTCTGGGGTGGATCCCCCCTCACCCCACTGTGCAAGGCGCCCCCACGGGTGACTTCGGCCCAGCTGAGGTCGCCGAGGCTTGAGTGGTGGCAACAGAAAAACATGACCCCCTGGCTTGGCAGCGCCAGGAGAAAAAGCCGGGGGTCCAGACCAGCCCTGGAGTGGGAGCCCCATTCGGGGATGTGGCCTGAGAGCCCCGTTACAGGAGGCATGGTCGGGGAGCCCCTCCAGGGGGCGTGGTCGGGGAAGTCCCCCCTCCAGGGGGCGTGGCCTGGGAGCCCCTTCCCGGAGGCGTGGCCGGGGAGCCCCCTTCCCGTGGGCGTGGTCGGGGAGGCCCCTCCAGGGGGCGTGGCCCGAGAGCTTATGGGGACTCCGCCCAAGCAGAGGTCGCCCCTTGGCCCGAGGCGTCCGTCTTCAGCTCCCCAGGCAACCGGCGGCCGGAGCCCCCGCCTCCCCAGACCCTGCTCCCGCCAAACCTCGGCGGCCCCCTCACCTTCCGGCTCCTCATGGGTGGGAGAAGCGCAGGGCCGCCCCAGCAACGCCGCCAAGCCCCTCGCTCCGGCCCAACGCTTCACTGCGCTGCGGCAACCCTCCGGCCCTCGGCCCGCGCTGTGGCGTCTGACGTCACCACAGGCTCGACCAATCACAGCCCGGAGTCTTCGGGCAGGTGACCCAACAAAGTGGGCGCTGTACGTAGCGGGCCGGTGGCGGCCATGTTTGTGAGGGGCACTTCCATTGCTGCCTCTGCGGCCGCCACGTTTGAGGGGGGCGGCAGCCATCTTTGGGACTGGCAGCTCCCTTGAAGTCCCTTGGGCACGTGTCGAAGGAGGGCGGGCATTGACCGTGGTGGGCTCCCTGACCCCCTACTTTGTGAGCCCAGTGAGCCGTGCTGGAACCCCCCTGGCGGGGCGGCCCGCCGAAGCCGCCTTCCCTTGCAGTTGGGAGGCGAGCCCTGCGAGGTCTTGCATCTCTTGCTGGCGGACCTTGGCCAGAGGGTCTCATCACCCTGAGCCCCGCGTGCGGCGAGGTTCTGCGGGCCCGGCAGGGTGTTGGTGGGACTCGGCCCAGGACCCCCGCGTGGTTGCACCAACGAACCCAACCTTTTCTCTGACCTTGGGGGAGAAGCACTGCATCCGGTCACTTCCTGTAACTGGCCAACTCCCCTAGCTTTCTTCCTGGTGCTAACCTAAAAATAAAAGACCTTTGAAAGTGAAAGACAACCAGCATCTATTTGAGATCCAAGAAGGGCTATTTGGAAGCACTGATTCAAAGAGCGTTCATGTTGGCAACAAGGGCAGGTGGTGTTTGTGCCGAAGGGAAGGGGGACAATGCCACCCAGGGAAGGCAGGCGCGCCTGCAGGTGCAGATAAGCTGACACAGTGACGCCAGTTCTAAACAATGCTTTAAATTCTCAGCCCCCTAGCCGCCTGCCTGGTAGTCATCATACCTGCTTTCTCGTTATCTTTGCAAACAGTTCTTTGGAGCATGAGCTTGGGCCCCGTCCAAAGGTTATTTTGCCTTGCTTTAACATTCCCAGCGGTTTGAGGCATTGAGACGTGCAAGGGAGATTCTCCGTATTGAAAGAGGCTCCGTTTCTATTGTTTTTTACGCAGGAGGGTCCAACATTTTGACGTCTCTGGGTCACACTGGAAGAAGAGTTGTCTTGGGCCACACATTAACTACGTTGTGACATGTCATCACACACACACACACACACAATCTCACAACGTTTTAAGTAAATTTACCATTTTGTGTTGGACTGTGTTCACAGCCATCCTGGGCTGCAGGTTGGACACCCCTGTAAGGATGGGGGCACCTAACCCCTTCACCCTGCATCACTCTTTGCGTGCTGCCCTGGCCTCTGTGAGAGCAGGTTACCCGGAGCCACCCGGCCACCTTTCCAAAGCCCCTGGCAATGCGCTGGCTCTTGTCCATCCCGGGATGTGGCTGCTTCTCAGCATTGAGACTCCCACAGAGGTGAAACCCAGCTTTGCCCTTACACACCGCAGGCCCCGGCTCCTGGGCCCCAGGAGGTGCCCCAACAAGGACACAGTGGGCTGCAGAGCCCTTGGGGCTGAAGGACGCCCCCCTCCCTGCGACCACGGCGGGGCTGGCGGCTGCTCCAGGAGCCAGCCCCGTGCTTTGCAGATCAATGAGCGCAGTGCTTCCTTGTTTATGACTTTTTTTTTGCAGGTGAGAACATTTAAATCAGGCCGTTTTGTCAGAAGCATTGGGCTTTTCAGTTAAAACTGTAAAGGTGGAAAAGTGAACCACGTGGCACCACGGCCTCCTGTACTGCCTGGGGGCCCCTCTGCGCTTTGTTCCGTGGGGGAGGCGTGATTCATGGTCGATTCCGAAAGCATTAATGTGCTCTGCTCGCCGGGAATGACTCCCTCCGAGCCTGGAAATGCAGCTGATGCCTCTTTTTGGTGCATAAAGAGTGAGAGCACTTACGGATATGCCAGCGCCTCTGCTCTGCAGATGGTGGGATGGCACATACAGCCGCTCCCGGCAGTGCGTGAGGCCCCGTGCAGGGTCCGTGTGTACACACGCATGCACACACACACAGACACGCAGTCGCCCACCCCCCGGCGGCACCCTTTCCCCACAGGCCTGTGCCGCTCCCGTGCTGTCTCCCGGGGTGCACGCAGAAGGGGGGAGGCGCGTGTGGACTGGCAGGAGATCCATCTGAAAAGGGGCCGATACGTTGCTGGCTGTGAAGGAAAACCCAAAGCGATGCTGGATTTCACACCTGACCTGTCCCGTTTGCACGGAAATTGCCTTCGTGATCAGCTGGGTCGGGTGGCTTTATTGCGGAACGCTTCAGAGCCCCGAGTTCTCAGAAAGCAGGCCTTGGTCGCCACCAGCCCACTGAGGGCCCGACGGCGGCCGCCCACGGCGAGTGTCACAGAAATGCTGCTCTGCGCGAGTCTGCCCGGCTGGGGCTCCCGCCTCTTGGAGCTGCCGGCAGTTTGACCTCCTGGGGGGGGGGTCCTTCTGTGTGCTCACAGACACGCCCTGCTCCCTGCTACCCCGAGTCCCACCCCAGTTACGAGAGCGGCATTTCCTGCTGCTCAGGCCTGAACCCGGGCGACCTTTGCCATCTCTCGCTCTCTGCCCACGTCCCATCAGCAGCCATTCCCGCCGATTCTGGACTGCCACGCTTCACAGCTGTCTCCTCCGGCTGGTCGTGCCCCTGGCAGCGGGCGGTCACGTCCGTGGTGGCCCAGCCCCCTGCTCAAGCTCCTCGCGGCTTCCCACGGCCTCCAGGATGGAGCCTCGGGGTTGCAGTAGGACCCGTGAGGCGCAGCATGGAGTGCCCGGGGCGCAGCAGGTGCTCCGTGAGGGTTTGCTGAGTGAACATGGAGAAGGCCCTAGGGGGTTGGCCCTCCACCAGAGGCAGCCGGCCCCTCGGGGCCCCGAGTTCCTCCCCGCCTGCTGCTGTGAGCACTGCGTCCTCGCAGCCCTCGGGGCCCCGAGTTCCTCCCCGCCGCACACACACTGTTCCCTCTGCCTGGAAAACCGTCTCCTCCTGCCCCTCGTTCTTCAGACCCCAGCTCAGCTTCCAGTGTGCGCCCTCAGGGGCCGTCGCCACATAGATCCCCACCGCGGTGGAACCTGCCCGCGTCTGCTTCCCACGACCCTGAGCCTGTCCCTCAAGGACACGGTGGCCGGTGGCTCTTGTCTCCGATTCATCCGCTCACTCGCTCAGCATGTGCGCGGTGGGCTCCCTCCCGTGCGGGCCCCGCACAGGCTGGGTCTGGGCTCAGGGTGGCGGTGGGCCGGCCAGACGCGGGGCGGCCTGCTTAGTGCTCTCGCCCCTGGTGGGAGGGACGGGCGTGGGCAGAGTCATCTCCGGAACGGATGCAAATCCGCGATGGCGGTGAGAGCCCCAGGGGAGAAGCCACATCCGGGGCCGCATGCACCCTGGGTGTCAGACCTCGGAGAGGCCAGGCGAGGCCCCTCGGAGGAAGGGACCGCAGGAGGTGGTCAGGGGTCGCCTCTTCCCTGTGGGCCCAGAAGCGGGGAACGGGCAGGAAGCAGACGAGGACCTGCTGGTCCAGCGGACTCCCCACCTCGTGGGCAGGCGTGGCCCTCCCGAGGAGGCGGGGGGCCCTGACCTGGCGGGGGGGCCGTTCTGGAATTCTCTCCCTGTCCCCCACCTCCTAGGCCACCATGTTGGGATGCACTTGAGTCTGAGGGCACACGTGACCCGGAACCTGAGCTCACGCCTCCACACGGCTCCTCGGGTTCCTCACGCCCCACAGCCCTCTTGTTCCTCCGGACCAGCTGTGCCGCCCGCCCTTCCCAGGACGGGGCTGCAGGGGCGGCCGTCCGCCGACCGGCAGCGGCCTGTGAGGGCCTTGACCGTGGCCGGTCCCCCACGCGGCGTGTACGCTCTCTGAGAGCAGGGGCTGGGTTTTGCTCACAAGCCGGTCCTGGAACCCAGCGCAGTGGCGGGGACGTTTGGGCAGCGAGAGGGCGCACAGGGAAATCGAGAGCCGAAGACTCCAAGGAGCCGTCTTCTTGCCCGTGAGACAGTCCCTGGCCACACACCGCTGTGCCCGCAGCCGAGCGCCTCCCGCCGGCTCCGCAGGGCCGTCGGGGAAGTCGGACAGGTGGTGCGGTCGTTAGCCGGGGCCGGCCCGGCCGGAGCACGTCTCACCGCGGCCAGCACAGGGTGACCTGCAGGATGAGCGGTCGCCTCTGGTACGCCGCCCCTTCCTATTTAAAAGGAAGCGGTGAGGGTAGCTTTTCAAAAATGGGAGCAGAGCCGCAAGCCCAGAACAGCTCACAGGAGGGTGCGGAGCGGCCGGAGTCCCCCCCCGCCGCTGGGGGGACGCGACTCGGTGCCGCCGCTCTGGGAGACCGTCTGGCCGGTGTCACACAACAGAACCTCCTCTCGCCGTGGGATCCGGCAATCACTCTCCCTGGCCGTTACCAACTAGGTTGAAACCTGTACGTCCACACAGAGACCTGCCCACGGATGCTTCTCGCGGCGTTGTTCGTGGCCGCCCACCCTGGGAAGCCACCCAGACGCCCTCCGGGAGGTGGGCGGGTGAGTGGGCCGCGGGCCCTCCAGGCAGGGAGCGTGAGTCGGTGCTAAAGAGAAGCGAGCCGTCCAGTCACGGAAGGAGGCGAGGCGTCTCGAGTGTGCCGTGCGGGGCCACGGCGGGCAGCCTGCGTGGTTCCGACCACGCGACCTTCCGGAAGAGGCTGGATGACCGACGGAGCCGGCGGAAAAGCCCAGTGGCCGTCAGAGCGGAAGGCCCAGGCGGAGCCCGGAGGAGGTTTGGGGAGGGAAACTACTCCGTCCGATACTCTGACGGTGGACACGCTTCATTCTAACTCGTCCGAGCCCACGGACTGCCCCGCCCCAAGCCTGACCCCTCTCGGGCACCGTGGGCTGTGGGGGGTGACGATGCCTCGGTGTGGGTTCATCACTGTGTCACCCACGCGTCCTGCCTGCGGGGGGTGTCGACCGTGGGGGGGGGGGCTGCGGGTACATGGGGAACCTCCGAACCGTCCCCTCCGTTTCGCTGAGAACCTAAAGCCGGTCTAAAAAGCGAGACTATGAAAAGACATGCGATGCCTGCCTGGCGCGGCTCAGGGGATTGAGCGC